CGGGCCCAGGTGTCAGGAGTCCTGCGGCACTTATGTGTTTCACGTCCCAGCATGCCTTGTCTCTGCTTGCTTGGGCTGCACCTGCACTGGCCACAGACATCTCCAGCTTCCTGTTTCATTTTAGGGTGTGGGGAGGGAGCAGGAGTCTTGCATTTAGGGAGGGAGGCAGCAGGTGGCAGGTGCAAGCTTAGCCTCTGACCAGGGCACAGCTTGGCTCTGTGTGTTCTTCGCTCCATGGCCTGAGGTCCAGCCCTGCAGATCTTTCCTGCCCCCTCCCGCCTGGCCCCTCTCATCCTGCCCCCTAGAGCCACAGCAGGGGCAGGAGGCTTGCTGTACCTGATGCCTGCAGAGGCTGTTCTGGGGCTGCTCATAACCCAGACCACGCTTTGTCCCACACAGAGAACGGAGGGCACGCGCCATGTCCCTGTGCCCTCGACCTCATCCCCCCATTCTGTGGTCCTTCGGGGGTTCCTGCCCCCAGACTGAACGCCCTCCTGTCCACAGCTCTGTGGCTTGATTATTGCCTGGAATTGCCCTGCCTTCCTATGTGGGAGTCGAAGATTGCCTTCCAGAGTCTTTTTTGTTAAGATGGCAATAAAAAGAAATTGATCACACACTTGGAACACACCCAGGCTCCAGGATCTTTCTTTGGTGTATTTTCTTTTCCTGCTTCTTATGGAAACCTCATAGCCCCCAAATCTGGGCTGAGTAGCTTAAGGAAAGCATGGTGGGGAGGGGGGCCCCAGCGGCCCCTGCATTTTCCTGATCCCCAGAGCCACAGGGCCTCTGTCCAGCCCCAGCCAGGCTCTCGGAGGGGAGGACAGGAGCGAGGGAGGCAGAGCACCCACGCACAATGAGTACAGTTTCCATTCCTTTCACATCAAAAGTGTGTTGGAGCTAAATTAATGTCACCTTCTGGTTCCCTAAAAGTTAAGGTTCCCAGGACCGTAAGCATCTTTCCTAGCAGGAGACTTAACACAGTCAGGGCTACCCATTGCCAGAGTGCTTGAAGGACCACCCTGAGACAGGAACCACTTTGGGGCATGGATTCTGAGGTCGCTTTGTCACAGGCGAGGGCCTGCCCACCAGCTCTGAGGCTTGTCCAAGGGATGGAAGCACCTTGGCTTACTGCCTGTCCCAGACAGCTTGCTCCAGGCAGGAGGCCACGTCTTGATCAGGAAGCCCCTTTCTGGATGGCTCTCACCTACCTTTGCTTTGCAGTGCAGGCCACTGACTACAGATCCTACCCCAGGAGCACAGTCAGGGCCACCACAACTGTCCAGGTCCTGGGAGATGCGCAGATGCCCTGAAACTGGGCCAGGGTCTTCCCTCATCCCCAGGATCAGTGTGATTGGCTGGGAAGGGAGGGCCCAAGATGGAAGATACTTTAACCCTGAAACTGGTCAGAGCTAAAGGGGCGGGAAGTGAAGAGGCTCGTGGTTTGTGATGGAAAAAATTTCTATCTGTGTCTTGGCTTCAGTGGGAATTTTGAGGAGTGCGGTAAAACAGGAGGAAATGGGCAGCGGCAGGAAGGATGGGAACCCTTGGAGGGAGGCCTCCAGGGATGGCCAGATGGCCTGAGGCCAAGGGATTACTTAGGGGCACAGTTCGAGTCTCAAAGGCCCTCTCAACCAAGAGACCTAAGGTGCGTGTGAGCACGGAGCGCAGACCCTTTCTTCTTGCCAGTCTGTCCCATTTCTGCCTCCCTGATCTGGCTGACTTCCTGTCCACTGGAGGGCAGGAGGGGTGGCCCTGGCCATGGGCAGCTACTTCTAGCCATGGGATGCACCGTGGATTATTTAGTTGGAACCATAATCATTTCCTGGCCCAGTTTGAAAATCTGGTGTGCTTGATAAGACCCAGGGGGTGAGGTCTGAGAATTGTCTGCTTGCTGTCTATCTAGTACCCAAGGTTGGATAGGAAGCTGGAATTAAAACAGTGCCTTATCTTCACGAAAAGTTCAGCCCAAAAGCCCCCCCCCCACTGTCACCCAGAACCTCGATTGTCTCCAAGGTGCCCACGTCTGGGGGTGGGATTTAGGCCAGTTCTGGGAGAGTCTCGGCTGGGCATTTTCCACCCACTTCTTATGCCTGCTGTCCGACCAGTGACCTGGTTACTCAGATCTTGCAAACAGCCAGCTGCTCAGCCACAGCGAAGAAGAATTCCTACTCCCTGGAAACCTTGTGCTGCTCAGGGAGGGCTCTGGCTTCCTGTGGTCACAATATGGGACAGACATGACTCTTTCTAAAGGGGTTGTCACGAATGGGGACAACTGGATTCTGAGAACCAGTCAGGCCATTAGGTGGTACCGCAGAACGGGAGACCTAATCAGAGGGGACTGGTGTTGGGACTTGGTTGATTTAGCTGTACTAAAAAATGCACAGCGTCGACATCGCGTTAAGGGAAAGGCCTGCCATGATGCACTGGGTGTTGCCATACATGTTGTATTTCAAGTTCCTGGTGTTTTTGATCTGCCTTTGCAAATACGCTGTGATGGATCCACGTGCTTGGGGTGCTCTGTGTAAATACTGGTTTTCGTAGGGCAGAAAACACCAGGAGATGGAGGGAAAATTGCCTTGAGTCTTTCCAAACTTTCTGACATGCTGCAGATGATGATCTTCTGAAGAAAGAAATCCTTGTTAGAAAGATGTCCCTCAGCTCTCTCTTCTCCTCTCAACACTGAGTGATGAGGAAAGAGCTCAGCCTTTTTTAGAGCTTGGAAACTGTTTAGAAATGGAGAAGAGGTGGTGACAGGAAGGGGGTTTGCTCCCCAACGTGCTGGCCAGAGGCTGGCTTTCTGTTGGTGTCTGGGAGCGTCTGGAGCAATGTCCCTTCTTGCTGTGCTAACCACGAGGCTGAGGGTACCTGGATGCTCAGCTCCAGCGTCTCACTACACTGGGGCTGCAGAAGGCTGACTGTGCGGTTGGAGAGTTAGTGAAGTGGTAGTCAGCTGGAATAACTTCTGCGTGACTTGGGCCCGCTTTCCCTTCACTTCCCTTCTTGCCTGGCGGCATGTGGGCTGGGTGCAGGGGTATCACCAGATCATTTCCCCAGTGTGGGGAGTTTGATGCCCGGACCAGACCCAAGTTCCGGGAATCTGAGCACCATCGATTTTTCTCCCAGGGAGGGCTTTGTGGCTTGCTTCTCTAGCGGGTCGAGCAGCCCAAGTTGGCGTTGCTGTGTCATCTGCCTGTCCTTGCTTTCTCTGGGTTCTGTTCCATTCTCTGCTGCCACACTGTCTGTTCCTTGGACCCTTCGTAAGGGCACACCCTCCTCCAGGGCCGGGTGGCAAGAGTCTGCTAAGGCCTCTTTAGATGCTGGCCAGATGCATGCAAGCGGGTCGGGGCACCTCCTGTGTAGGCTCTCAGTGCCACTGCATACTGTTACTGGCGTTTGTGTATTTCTCTAATGTGTGTGGGAGAGATAAGCCATAAAAATTGCTTATTGAAGAAACTGAAAAGTACAGAAAATTACGAAGATGATCCACTCTATAATGGATAATTTTTGTTAAAACACTAGTGTATTTCTTTCAAGCAGTTTACTGAGGCTCAGTTTTTTAAAGCATTATTGGAAACAGGATGCTAAAAACCTTTCTCTCCTATTATCTTCCCTCTACATGATTACTGACACTGTTTTTGCTACGTCATGAAAGATTCTTTGAAAATAATTTTCCTGTAGGTGTTCTATCAGGCAAATGTACCCTCATTTACTAAACCAGACATCTGGCATTCGAAATTCAGATATTTTGGCTTTTGCACGTTATAAATAAGAAAGCCGCCAGCGTGCTGGTGTGCAGGGCTTGCATACTTGTTCCGTATCTCTTTGTTCTGAGTCCACGCTGCCAGTTTATTTCCCAAAGGGCTGTGGCAGGTTGTTCTGCAGCATGGCTGTAGGAAATGCCTTTTGTGGCACCTTCATCATCCTTCACATTAAAAATTCTCTGCTGATGTGACAATGTGCTGCTTTGTGTTCCTTTTCCTATTAGTGACGCTTAATACTTTCCATTGATTCATTATGCATATGAATTCTTATTTCTCCTGGGTTATTTCAAATATAATTCTTTGGGCTAAGCCAAACAGACATGGCTTTCTTTTCAGGCTTTTGAATAAAACCAGAGCGTGAGGAAAAGGTTCCTTCTGGCTACCCGTCTCCTCCCCATGCTTATGTAGCACAGACCCTGAAGAACGCCCTTTGATATGTGCACCCCCGCTTCTCAGCTCCTCGCATCTCCTGGAGATGGAGGAGGTGGCAGCTGGATGTCGGAAAGGTCGTTTTAGGGGAATCGGAGGAGGGCCGAGGATGACTTTAAGGGTTTCCTGGCGGTTGCTGAGTTGCTGCTTTCATTTGTCACATCGCAGCCGTGAGTTATAGTGGGAAGGCCTAGGCCGCACAGCTGCATGTCCCCTGGGTCAGCTGTGCGACCTGCGACAAGCTTTCTCTCTGAGCCTCATCCGGCTTAAGTCGTTGAGTTACATTAACCAGTGGTTGCCTGCCTTTCACTGTCTTATTTACTTTCCTCCTCTGTCCCATGGGTCAGAGATTTTACTCCTTAGCACGTATTCAATGACCTCTTGACCCCGTGGGCTACTTCTGCTGGGCTCCGTGGATATTGACAACAGCCCGAGGACCCAGCCGTACTTACTGCCTCTATGGACCTTAGAAGTCCAGGGACCCTTGCAGCTAAAAATCAGTTAAGAGTTGAGCTGCTGCTTTCCAGTTGCCTTTCCATCTAGCGGGGAATCTTATATTTAGGATAATAGACGAGGGAGGTGGGGAAGGTGTGATTTCCAGCCGCAGGGAAGAGCTTCTTGGCGCCCTGGAGTTACAGGGAGTTTGGGGACAGGGCTGGCCATGCCCAGTGCTCCTTCCTGGGCTGAGAAGGAACTTTGTCAACACCCTTTGCAATATTATGGAACTGGAATCATGCTCACCTGCGCCCACCGCTGGCAGGCCCTCCACAGGGCGTGGCCCATGGTTCTCACCTGTCTCCTCGCCCTCAGGTACGTGGTCATCTCCCGGGAAGAGAGGGAGCAGAACCTACTGGCCTTCCAGCACAGTGAGCGCATCTACTTCCGGGCATGCAGGGACATCCGGCCAGGGGAGAGGCTGCGGGTCTGGTACAGCGAAGACTACATGAAACGCCTGCACAGCATGTCCCAGGAAACCATCCACCGCAACCTGGCCAGAGGTGAGTGCATGGACCACGCCCATCAGAGGCCACGCCCACAAAGGTCACACTCCACCTGGGGCTACCACCGCCAGGGCCACGCCCACTCCAGAAGACTCTGCCCATTCCTGGTGAGGCCACACCCACAGGAAATGACAGACCCACAAACCCAGGGAGGCCTCACCCGCCCACTCTTCTGGGAGGCTACGCCTACTCTTAGGGAGGCCACGCCTACTCTTACGGAGGCCAGAATCCTCTTTCTAGGAGCTTCCTGAAGAAACCCATGCGAAACGGGTTGACCTAGAGTGGTGTGACCCAGGGCGATTCAGGGAACAGATGAGCCAGTCCTGGGGCTAGGCAGTGACCAGCGCGTGTTGTTCTCCCTGTGAGACAGTCTCACTGCACGCTTTCAAAGTGCTGGGAAGAGAGACAGCCCCCACAGCCACTCGAAGAAGTTGAGTCAACACCGATCCTGTCCCCCAGTTCAAACTGATGACCACACATTCCAAACTGTGGCTGCCTCAGTAGTCCTAGCACTAGTAGTAGATGACCTTCTTTCCTGTGTTTGGATCAGGGTTTCTCTGTGCTCCTGTGTGATAGTCACTTGAGTAGTCTCTGCCCATACATAAGTAGGTATGCTGTGGAATTAGCGGACAAAGGCACATTCCACACCTGAGCAATGCCTGTCTTGGCCATTGGAAGTCCTCAGTTGTCAATTGTTAATACTCGTGGTCCCGTGTGGATTATTAACCCCATTTCACAGATGGAAAAACAGAGAATTAAGTAAATGCAATGACTCATCCAGTGTTAGATGGCTTAGGAAGGTGAAGCGCTCTCTGAGTTGGGTTTCAATTTCACCGTGCAGTGAGCTTCCTGACAAAACGCGTCTCTCCCCTGTTTCCTTCTGGCCTCATGGGTGGACCTAATAGTCCGATGTTCAAGTACATTCCCTTCTGGAGAATAGGAGGGAGAGATAGAGGATGTGAGGTGTGGGTTGGGCCTCCATCCAGGTTCCATTGGAATGAGTCTTTTGCAGGGGGTTGAAATCGCTCCCCAGCTCCAAGCCCTAGCCCTTCGCCCAACCCTCAGCCTGGCCACGTCCACTGGGGAGTCCACATCCTTCTGTCCAGGGGACTTTTCTTTGCATGAAGGCCACAGATGCAAATGCCCAAATTCCACCTGTTCCCAGAACCCAGGCTACGCCTAAGCCCCCAAATACTGTGTTCCCAAGCAACCTACTTCCTGGCAACGAGTCTTCATTTGGAAAATGAGTGGAGAAGAAGAGAAGCAGGTGCAGGTGACTCACTGAGATCAAACTGTCTTGAAGGACAAACCAGAACAAAGTGAGTTGTTGAGTGTACAGCTGCTGCCTGGCTTGGTAAAAGGTATCTGGTGATTGGTGGGAGACCCGGTAGACAGAGCATCTCTTGTCTTTTTTGGACGTGAGGGTTGGGCACAGGCTGATTTCCCTTGGCAAGGTGCACTTCCATGATGAAGCTACGGTTCCCATTTGACTTGTGGATTCCTCTAAAAATGTCTAAATGTGGTAGGTACTCAGAAAATCTTTGCTGAGTGGATACAAGAGAGAAGTGAATGAAGACAACCAAGAAATTTCCAGAACAACCATACCACTGGAAGAAAAGAAAACCAGGAGAAGGCATCTCCGAGGATGCAGGTGTCATCCCTTGGCCATCACCTTCTCGAATCCTTCTGGATCAGTAATGATCTTTTATTCCCCGTAGTCTTCTTTCAAGCACCTCCAGCTGTGTCATCCTCAGAGAGCCTTGTGGCCCCAGGGCACTGGTCCAAGAAGGAAGTGAGCTTTCAGGAATTGTGGCTCAAAGGAGTCAGGAAAAACCAATGGGAAAAGACATGTACTGAGACATGTGAAGACACGGGAGGAGGCAGTGTGTGTCCCTGGCTAGGCTGAGCAGTAGGCGGCAGGAAGCAATAGAAAACCACAGCAGGAGGGTCATAGGGTTCTGTGGCATTTCCGTGTCTTTCTCTGTAGCCTTAGTATTAGCAGGTCCTGGGAACTTTGGGTGGCATCCTAGATTGGCATGCGAGTCCCTGTGCTCAGTCACTCAAGAACATGCATAGATGAGGTGTCTCTGTGACTGGAATCTGGTGCCCCGAACAAGTTATTAGTCCTTACTAAGGAGGAAGGTGGTTTGGAGCCCAGCACTACTTTCTGAAAAAGCATATAAATCATTCCTTTGTGGTTGTCTTTAAAGAATGAAGTGCATCTCCTTCTTGGGTTCAATATTTTCATGTTGTTTGATCTATTTTGAATCATTGATTTACTTGGAGGTTTTTGTTTTGCTTTATTATTTTCCCCCTACAGTTCATGGAGTCAAATCCACAAGGCTGAAAAGTCATTTGTCCTCCTGAGCTTTTTTCTTTTTTGTACCAGGAACTGAACTCAGGACCTTTCACTTGTCAGGGAGTCACTGTGCCACTGAGCTATATCCCCGGCCCTTCCAAACAGTTTTCATGGATGCCTTAAGTGTAAAAGGGTCTCCTGTTTATGTGATGCGGGTGACTTGGTCCTTGAACAGAGGCAGGAGGAGCCCTGGTCTCACAGCCTGGAACTCCAACATCCTCAGCTCTTTGCTGCCCGAGTGGTCCGGGAGAATGTGGAAGAGTAACCCTTGAGTTTCAGGGATTTAGAATGAGCCAGAGCCTTATTTGATCTGTACGACAAGTATGTTGCATTTTTCAGAAGTTCCCTTCATTTCTCCTCTTTTTGTAGCTAAGCTGCTACAAAAATGCCAGCTGGGCCCCCAAGTACTAAAGCTTTGAGAAAGAAGTTGTTACTTAAGTGTTCGGGGGAGAACAGAGAAGAGGCATCTCGGATCGATGAGGCTGTTACTGGTAGGAAACCTGTAGTCAGACCCGGGCAGGGCCAGCACCCCATGCCAGCTGTGGGCAGCCAATCTGGGCACCTGCAGTGCTTACAGGGGCCCTCAGCCTTCACTCAGGGATGCAGCGTGAGCAGAAGCCCGATTGAAATGTGCATTCAGATGAGGTCACTGGCCTGAGTCGCCTTACTCACGATGCCTACTGTAGGAAACCTGTGAGAGTTCCCAGCCCCCACAGGTGGCTGCAGTATCCGAGGGCTGAGGACCCAGCCCTGCTTTCTTAGCATCCTTCCCTTGGGGAGTATTAACACTCGTGCGGCAGCCTGTTTAGAAGGAGCCAGGCTCAAGTTGTGCATTACTGGCGAGCTCGCCAGAGCTTGTGGGCTAATTCATAGTAATTAAAAGCTTTTTGATCCTGGCATGGCAGTGCCCACCTGTGACTCCAGCTCCTCGGGAGGCTGAGGCAGGGGAATCACCTGGCCAAGTCCAGCCTGGGCAACTTCGTGAGATTCTGTCTGAAAAAAAAAAAGATAATAGTAAATTGAAATAATTCTCATGATAGAAAAAAACAGGCAAAGACACATCTTTGGTGAGGTAAAGAAACACAAGGCTGGGCCGGCCTGATAGCTCAGGGGACTAAAGCGTCTACTTAGGCAGAGCACAGCAGCCAGGGTTTGATCCCAGTTTTGCTGTGCCAGCGCTGCCCCCAGGGGTGTGCTGACACGGGGATTGAGGCTGGGTGTGGTGGTGCATGCCTGTAATCCCAGCGCTTGGGAGGCTGAAAACAGGAGAATCACTATGAGTCCGATCTACATAGTGAGACCCTGTAGACCCTGTCCTAAATACAAAAAAGAAAAAGAAAAGAAGCACAAGGCTGTCTGGGGACTTCTCTGGGTCATTGTCACCACATTGCCCTTTGTCTTATTGGAGGCTGCCACCCTGGATCCTCTAGCTGCTGCAGTGGCTCTGCCTGTCCTCTGCCTTGGATGCCAGTCATCACCAAACACCACAGGATTCCTAATCACACATCCCCACATATTCCCAGGCTTCTGATGGCCAGGCAAATTGGACTGTCCCCTAAGTGGGCTGTCTCAGAGCAGCCAGGGGGAGTAGGGCTCCTAACGTGTACCTTCTACAAAGAGCAAGTAGTGTCTTCTCATCCCTGAGGCTGGGGTGCAGCCTCCGAGGTGTGGAGCCCACATTTTTATGCTATTTCATTTGCTTTGAGTCATTGATTTCCTTGGAGGTCCCTTGGGACGTTGCCATTTACCTGTCTGATTCGCTAGGATACTGGCTTCTAGGATGGCACATAGGGTGGCACCTCTCGAAAGAACGTCTGATCACCCTCTCCTGTAGACGTCACTCACCTTGTAAGTGCAGGGTCTGTACGCAGCAGACTTCTTCTGAACTGTCCTTTCCTGAGAATGCATCCTGTTCTCCAGGCCCTACGACTAGCTCCCCCAGTCCTGCATCTGATCTCCTGCTGCATTTTGTCACACCCGCCCCAGCAGTCCAGAGTTTTATTTTCTGTTTCTCCTTTGGGGGCTTTTCCCCAAGTCCTTACACCCTGGTTTTCCTTCCTAGGCGAGAAGAGGCTGCAGAGGGAGAAGTCTGAGCAGGTTCTGGATAACCCAGAAGACCTGAGGGGTCCCATTCACCTTCCCGTGTTGAGACAGGGCAAAAGTCCCTACAAGCGCGGCTTTGACGAGGGGGATGTGCATCCCCAGGCCAAGAAGAAGAAAATCGACCTCATTTTCAAGGATGTGCTGGAGGCTTCCCTGGAGTCAGCAAAGGTGGAAGCCCACCAGCTGGCCCTGAGCACCTCGCTGGTCATCCGGAAAGTCCCCAAGTACCAAGACGACGCCTACGGCCGGTGTGCAGCAGCCATGACCCATGGCACGCAGAATGTCAGCCGGACCCAAGGGGAAGGGAACTGGAAGATCCCCCAAAGGGCTGCCAAGGAGCCGGGGCCCTTGGAGGATGAAGAGGAGGAGCCGGCACCCTTCAAGGCCGACAGTCCCGCCGAGGCCTCCCTTGCGTCCGACCCTCATGAGCTTCCCACCACCTCCTTTTGCCCTAACTGTATTCGCCTAAAGAAGAAGGTCCGAGAACTCCAGGCAGAACTAGACATGCTTAAGTCTGGAAAGCTGCCTGAGCCCGCGGTTTTGCCACCACAGGTACTGGAGCTCCCAGAGTTTTCGGACCCTGCAGGTAAGTTGGTCTGGATGAGACTTTTAAGAGCGCAGCGGGCTGTGCGGAGGGTGGCCTAGAGCTCCGTGTTGGCGCCACCTGCCGGCAGACCTGAGGAGTGCAGTGCGCAAGTGGTCGCCTGCGTGGGTGGGAGCCAGGGGCAGGCCCGCTCGCAGCTCTGGTGGATGCTTTGCGTGTTGCCCTTGTATCCTCCTTGTCAATAAAGGACGTTCCGCTGCAGGAGGGGTGTGTGCTGTGTTCTTGACCCGTTGCCTTTCTCTGGTGGTCTGGCTGGTGCCTTTTCTCAAAGCCGGTGTTGTCTATCTCCAGGCCCGAGGGAGGATGTCCTTCTGGGGGGTTCTCATGTCGCCCCTGAGTCAAGGAACACAGCCTCCTCTTCCAAAATCTCTTCTGCCTCACGCGGTCCTAGTCCCCCAACCTGGCGCCCGGGGGGTGTAGGGCATTACCACACTCCTTAGTTCAGGATGTGGGGAGTGCAGGTCTTCAAAGCACACATCTGAAGGAAGCTACTGTTTGGCCTCGAAGACCCTTGGGGGCCCCTCCGAGCTGCCTTCAGGCCAGGCTGCCTTCCCCGACCTCATCCGTGGGTGTCCTACAGGTCCCAGGCCTCCAGTGATGACTTACCTAGAGGTATGCGGTGTGCCTTCTCCCCTCCGTCAGATCTTCTCTGTCAGTTCATGCTGTCTAGTAGATAAGGGACATTTCAGTCCCTCCAGCACCCACAAGTGGCAGGTGAAGGCAGGCAGCCTGGACCGTGGGGTGGGGTGTGAGGATAAATCTATGAAGAGAAAAAGTCATGCGTGGAGAACAAGAGTGCTTAGAAATGAATTCTAGGCTGGGATTCCATCCCTCACAGGCTGCACAGGGCTTGGTTTTACACAGCATGGCATACTTCCTGGCAGTGTTTGCTATTATTCCTTTCAGGAAAATCTGTTTTCCCCTCCTGGTGTAACTGTTTCTTTCCTGTTTGTCTTGTAGCCTCGGAGAGCATGGTGTCCGGCCCTGCTATCATGGAGGATGATGACCAGGAGGTCGATTCCGCAGATGAGTCAGTTTCCAATGATATGATGACGTCGACTGATGAGCCCTCCAAGATGTCCTCGGCCACGGGGCGCCGGATCCGGCGCTTCAAGCAGGAGTGGCTGAAGAAGTTCTGGTTCCTGCGGTACTCGCCCACCCTCAACGAGATGTGGTGCCACGTGTGCCGCCAGTACACAGTGCAGTCGTCCCGCACCTCGGCCTTCATCATTGGCTCCAAGCAGTTTAAGATCCACACCATCAAGCTGCACAGCCAAAGCAACCTGCACAAGAAGTGCCTGCAGCTCTACAAGCTCCGCATGCACCCTGAGAAGACGGAGGAGATGTGCCGAAACATGACCTTGCTCTTCAACACCGCCTACCACCTGGCCCTCGAGGGCCGGCCCTACCTGGACTTCCGGCCGCTGGCGGAGCTGCTGCGCAAGTGTGAGCTCAAGGTGGTGGACCAGTACATGAACGAGGGCGACTGCCAGATCCTCATCCATCACATTGCCCGTGCGCTGCGCGAGGACCTGGTGGAGCGTATCCGCCAGTCGCCTTATCTCAGTATCATCCTGGACGGCCAGAGTGATGACCTGATGGCCGACACAGTGGCCATCTACGTCCAGTACACCAGCAGCGATGGGCCCCCGGCCACCGAGTTCCTGTCCCTGCAGGAACTGGGCTTCTCCAGCACGGAAAGCTATCTCCAGGCGCTGGACCGGGCCTTTTCGGCCCTGGGCATCCGGTTACAGGATGAAAAGCCGACTGTGGGCTTGGGTGTGGATGGGGCCAACGTCACAGCCAGCCTGCGTGCCAGCATGTTCATGACCATCCGCAAGACGCTGCCCTGGCTGCTGTGCCTGCCCTTCATGGTGCACCGGCCTCACCTGGAGATCCTCGATGCCATCAGTGGGAAGGAGCTGCCCTGCCTGGAGGAGCTGGAGAACAACCTGAAGCAGCTGCTCAGCTTCTACCGCTACTCGCCGCGCCTGCTGTGCGAGCTGCGCTCTACCGCTGCCACGCTCTGTGAGGAGACCGAGTTTCTGGGAGACATCCGAGCTGTGCGGTGGATCATTGGTGAGCAGAACGTCCTCAACGCTCTCATCAAGGACTACCTGGAGGTGGTGGCCCATCTCAAGGACGTCAGCAGCCAGACGCAGCGGGCGGATGCCTCGGCCATCGCCCTGGCCCTGCTGCAGTTCCTCCTGGACTACCAGTCCATCAAGCTCATCTACTTCCTGCTGGACGTGATCGCTGTGCTGTCACGCCTGGCCTATGTTTTCCAGGGCGAGTACCTCCTGGTGTCCCAGGTGGACGACAAGATCGAGGAGGCTATCCAGGAGATCAGCCGGCTGGCCGATTCCCCGGGCGAGTACCTGCAGGAATTCGAGGAGAACTTCCGGGAAAGCTTCAATGGAATCGCCATGAAGAACCTCAGGGTGGCCGAAGCCAAGTTCCAGTCCATCAGGGAGAAGATCTGCCAGAAGACTCAGGTCATCCTGGCACAGAGGTTCGATTCCCGGAGCCGGATCTTTGTCAAGGCCTGCCAGGTCTTTGACCTGGCCACCTGGCCCAGGAGCAGTGAGGAGCTGGTGAGCTATGGCAAGGAGGACATGGTACAGATATTTGACCACCTGGAAGCCATCCCTACCTTCTCCCGGGATGTCTGCAGGGAAGGGCTGGACCCTCGGGGCAGCCTGCTGGTGGAGTGGCGAGAGCTCAAGGCCGATTACTACACCAAAAATGGCTTCAAGGACCTGATCAGCCACATCTGCAAATACAAGCAGCGGTTTCCACTCTTGAACAAGGTCATCCAGGTCCTCAAGGTCCTCCCCACTTCCACTGCCTGCTGTGAGAAAGGCCGCACTGCCCTCCAGCGGGTCCGCAAAAACTACCGCTCCCGCCTCACCCTGGAGCAGCTCAGCGACCTGTTGACAATCGCCGTCAATGGACCCCCGATCGCCAACTTTGATGCCAAGAGAGCCCTGGACAGCTGGTTTGAAGAGAAGTCTGGTAATAGTTATGCACTGTCGGCTGAGGTCCTTAGCAGGATGTCGGCTCTGGAACAGAAGCCTGTGCTGCAGAGCGTGGACCACAGGGCCATGTTTTACCCAGACATGTAGGAAACCCGCCCTGCAGAGTTCGCTAAGCTGTTGAATATTTTTTTAATCTATACTCATAAGCTTTGATATATTATATAAATATATATTATATTATATTATATTATTATTATATATATATAAAAAAACTCACACTGAAAATTTTTAAAAACCAAGGTGACACATCCACCAGAAGCTACTGGGAGCTTTCAGAAAAGAATAATGTCAGAAACTGACTCTTGACTCCACGTGGCAGCTGCAACATACATTGCGACTCATTCCCACTCACAGAAGGGTGTGCTGGGCCGCACGGGTCCCCGCCTTCCAGTCAATCAACGGCATAAGCTAAAATGACGGGTCTCTGTCATCACCTTTAGGTAGCGTGTTTCATTCCTGTTTTCCTTTGGGGGTTCAGGGGCCTTGGGTTGGGTTTGGGTTTGGTTCTTACCTTTTTTATTTCATAGGGTTTCTCTCTCTTGGCCTCTCGTGGATGCAGTGGTCAGGGCTGCATCCGATCTCTGATTCCCATGGGGTGAGTTGTGTTTCTGGGTTAGTGTGTTGAATCTTCCTTCCTCCGTCTGATTTTAGCCTGAGAGAGTTGTACGCATTTCCTTCACTGTCCTACAAACAAAAGTGTCGGTCAGACTGTGAGCGCACCCCCCTTCCCTCTGCCGCCTCCCCCTTCCCTGGGCCTTGCTTTCCCCCTTCCTAACCCTGGACACTGCGGATGTTACCTGAAAGCAAAACTGCCTTGCAAGTGAGCTTGAAATCTGGGGGGAGGAAGTAGGCATGCAAGTTTCCTGCCTTCCTGTTTATTCGTGGTGGAGGAGAAAACAACAGAATCCCACTCACACCCAGGGCTTCCGGGTGACGCAGAGCCAAGAAATCCAGCGATTTTTGGCAAAAAACAAGTCAAATGAAAAGCAGCTATTCAATTTACCTGCATTATTTATATTCTGTCTTTATAATCCTATAATGTGTTGAGAGTATTTTATTTTCTTTTAATTATCAAGAAGCACCTGCTGTGTGGTTCAGGGGCAGGAGCTGTCAGTGCAAGATGTGTCCAGGGCTGTGCATGACCCAAATGAGAGTCCCCGGAGAGGTCACCCTTCTTGGTCACTGAAGCTGATAACACGCCCCGCAGCCTGGCGAGAGGGTTGTGGGAGAGTGGACAGTGCTTCTGCGCCTGTGAACTCTTCCTTTTCTGGAGAGGATAGAGAGAACAGGAAGTAAGACGGGGCTCTCAGGGTGTCAGCCTGCACGCGTGCGCACACACACACACATGTGCACACACACACACACACACACACACACACACAACCACAATATAAGCTTTAGATATGGCCACTTGCCTACTCTCTGGGGCAAGTAGTGCTTTAAGCTACAGGAGTCTGATCTGTGTTCTTTCGTCCACTCAACTACCAGTATACCTCGCAAGAAGTTTTCAGAAATGTGCATAAGCTGTTCAAAACTTCTGTTCCTCTTCTGACATCAGGTTTCTGCAGTTTCTATGCAGAGATCCTGTGACACGGAGGCACAGGTTGGCCTTGGGGAAGATCGCAGTCGGTTCTGCTGGGGGCTGCTCCCTCGATTGCCCGAGGGTGTGCGTGAGCTGCAGGCACGGGTGAGGCTCCTGGCCCGCCTTTGGGCAGCACACCCCTTCTAGAACTGTGGCAGCTTCCTTCCTTCTTGGTTTAGCTTGTCTTTGAGGCCTTGTGCCACCGTTCCCAACCACAGTGGAAACGTCACCAACACTGAACATGTTGCCGTCCCTTCCTGGTCCTGCCTGTCCCTTTGTTCCTCACAGATCCACCTCCTCACCCCCTGGTCTTGGTGCTAAGATAACTTTAGAATCATTGCTGCTAGTCAATAGCTTTTCATTATATAAATATATTATATATATTATATATTATTTTTTGAAATGTTCTTATTTGTTTTCAACAGTGATGTAGCATGTCAAACAAACAAAAATCAACAAAAAACTGGGGTTCTCAAATGTCCCACTGCCAGGCCTTGTATGCTGCCTTCTTCAACAAATCAATGCACCCTCCCTGGTGACCCTCACCCCAGCCCCCAGGTGGCACGAGTCCTTCTCCACCCTCCTCTGAGCTATCGAGAGTTAGCAGGAAGCCCCTTTGGATACGCCCATGTCCCCAGCCTCGCTCTGCTTGTTCACTCTGAGTTGGGGCCAGGTAGAAAGCCTTTGCAAAGCACAAGGTCCCGAATTCCCCAGCCCCAGCCTGGGGACTTCTGGTCTCCATGCACATACAAATGGCAGTCTCAGGGTTTCACTGAGCATCGATCGCAGTGGGTGGAGGGTAGGGATGGCAGGTGAGGCGGGCCTCAGTGAGGGGCAGGCACAGTCGGTTGGGGTCCTTTCTTCTTGCCAACAGTTGCCTTACACCTCCTCTTTCCTTTCCAGCCTCCCTGCCCCTTGCCTGGGGACTCTCTGTCTGGGGACTGGGTTGAGGCTCGACCACGTTCGTGAAGCCAGGAGAGAACCAGTGTCTGAGAACCAGTCAGGGCAGTGACTGTTTTCCTCACGGGGGACCATGACCAAAATGAACTCAGCCTTCCTTTGGGAGCCCATGCCTGTACCTACTTTGCAGCTGTAGGGAGTGGAGGCCTCCAACACCCCCCCCCCCCCCAGGCTCCCAGGCCTCGGAGAAGCCAAGCCCTCAAGCGTCTTAAGTGTGGCAAGGTGCCCCTCATGGCTTCAGCCTGGTTCAGCCAGGCCTGGGCTGTGGCCCTCACTCTGTAGGCCACTTTGTCTTAGGATATAGAATAACAAGAGACTGTAAGGGTGATAAGCCACTGCAATTTTCACAGGGATTCTGCTCAGCCTGCAGGCTCCTTGGGAGGCCTCCGTCCTGTGAATTATAGTTTCTTTGGCCTGTTGTTCTTGTCCTGGGCAATTTTCCCTCTCTCTTGTCCTTGGAAAGGCTTGATTGAGGGGCCCTCGGGTCTGGCTGGGGAACTGCGAGTTGGACTAGCCTGACACTTTTTGTATGGCTGGAAAAACTGGTCAGGCAGCCTGTGTATCTCAAAACTGGTCCCTTTAGCTAGATTCAGCCCTTTAACTGAGCCCCTGGCCTGGGAGTGAGTGCTGTAGACTTGGAAAGAGATGTGCCTCAGGGCTGAGGCTTGTCCTCGCTGGGCAGGCTGATCAGTGACCATCCTGGCTCAGAGAGGTGGAAAGTGAGATCGAGTGAGAGGCCCAGGTTTGTGGGAGTGGAGCTAAGCAGCTGTTTGCAATGTCTGGGGGCCAGATGCCCGGATGACAGAAATCCTCTGCTCTTCCTGAGTGGAGAGCTCCTGCCCTCAGGACTCATCTCTGTGTGCAGCTCTTGCTGGATTCCAAGCTCCAAGCCCTCTCTGTCTGTCCTGCAGAACAGCAGCATCAGGCCTCACAAATGGCAGTGTTTCCTTCTTATATTTTTAAAAAATGACTCCCTGTGACACCAATGATCCTGGAACATCCTTCTTCCCCTGTCCTCACTTGCAAAGAGGGCAAGACTGAGCTCCAGCACCCCTGGAGGGCCCAGGGTAGGGCTGGGTTCTTGAGGCGCTGGCTCTTGGGCTGGGAGCGGGGCCTCCGTCTGCCACCTCCAATCCTCATTGGCTGAGCCCTTCTCCTTGACTCATTGATGCCAACCCTTCAATTTAGGGGAAAGGGCTTCATAATGACTTAAAGCATTGTTGAAATATTTTTTTCTGTTTGTTGGAGGTGATGCCAAGGAGGTGAATGGGGAAAAGCATGTGAAGGCCGAGCACAGTAGTGGAGAGGGGGGCGGGCTGCAGAGCCCGCCCGGCTGGCGTCACTAGCTGAGCCCAATGGCTTGGAACAGACCTTCTCTCCTGTGGACTCCCTGCACCTCTCATTTTTCCTCCTCCACCCCACTCAGGAACAGGCATTCTATATGGAGGGCTGTTTTGGCTTGTGGGCTGGGCTTTTTTCCAAGGAGAAGTTGTACTATTTGTTGGTCTGTGCACCCCATTTTGGCCGAAGACTCCAGTCACAGTGGTGCACACCTTTGGGTCTCTAGCCAGGCTGGGCTGGGCTGGTGGAAACAGGCAGGCCAGACATCCTTGGGCAAGAGAAAGGGGTGCAGAGGCAGCTGAGCTAGGAAAGCCCATCCTGACCCCACTCTGGGTCCACCCCTGGCCTCCTCAGGTCCTCAGGAGAAAGGAATGGCAATGCAAAGTGCATCTTTGGCCTGGAGGAAGGGGAGGACCTTCTGCTGCCCTGTGTGGGTCCTGGTGCTTCTGCCCAGTGCATAGAACTGGGAGTTTTGGAGGTGGTCTTTACAAATTAGCCAGAAGGAGACAAAGTGCCCTTTTGGGAGGAAAATGGTACGGCCCTCCTCTGCATCCAGCCTGTCCCCTATCCCTTCAGATGGTATGGCCCTGGAAATACCTATGCAATCCGGTCTCCCTGGGAGACCTTCAAGGAAGCAGGGGTGTGTGCAGGGTATAATTACTGATGCTACAGCATTTAGATTGTATATATGGACATAGACAGTACGGATACACACAGAGGAAGAGATTAAATCACGTCTATATCTAAAAATAATATCCTATATATTTATACATTTCTATGTTTTAAATAGATATAAAAATAGTCTATAGAGCTGGAGGAGTCGCGGGAGGCCTGTCGCTGTTGTGGAAAGGGAGGAGGCCGGGCCTTGGGGTGGGGAAGATGGAGATCAGGCAGTTCCATGGCTCTGGGCCTTCCCTGTGTATCAGAGGAGGGGAGCTGCGCCCTGGCCCCCCATGCACTTTCTCTCCTTTTCCATGCTTGGTCTGAGCTTGGAAGGAGATACTCCCGACTTACCTCCCCCTAGCACAAGCCTACACTAGGCGACCACTGTTCTTGGCAGAAGGGCATGGTATCTGGAGGGTCCACTGCACAAGCCCCATACCCTCCCCCGCCAAGAATAAGCAGAATCGCCGGCAGTAGGAAAGGTGCACCTGGTTTGCTAGGTGGTCCAGAAAGATGCCACCCTCCTGTCAGGTGTTTCTGCCGCCCCCTAGAGGCCAAGCCTCTGAACAACGGCCGTCCGGGCCTCCCTCGCCTACTCAACCACTACCACTGCCTGCCAGGCCAGCGCAGATGGACTAGGCAGCGCTGCTCGCCACCCAGTGGCTTTCTGGCCAGGGCAGGGGCGTCTGATCCCAGGGAAGGGCGGGAAAGACAGATCCGCACATTCATAATTCAGTGGTAACTCAAGCTTGGAAGCAGGGCTTTGGCCCAGTGCCCTCTGCGCAGCTGCCGCTGCTGCTGGCGCTACTCAGGACATTGCGACCCTCCTCCGCCGCCGTGGAGGCCCAGGGGGCCCCGCCCGCTCTCCGGACCTGCGGGTTCACATACACTGTTCTCCTTCTGTGACCAGGGAGAGGCTGAGCCCTGCGTCCAGGCCCAAGTACTTCCTCTGGGCAGGAGGATGCCGTCCTCAAGCTGTCCCCAGAGCCCACTCTGGGCTCAAAGGGGACACCTGGGAGCCACAGGGACCCCGGCACAGCTGGCAGCATGACGGAGGGCTTTGCAGCCCTGACAGAGCCTGGAGCCCACCGGCTTCTAGTTTCCCCTCCCTGGAGGGGGAGAAGGGCTTGATGGAGCTGCCTGAGCTGTTCTCTGGGTGGCTTTGCCTCTGGGCCCCGAGCATCCCCTCCCCTCCCCTTGAGCCTCCGGGGCTCCTGCCTGCTCTTCCTCACCATCCTACCAGCGTACCTCAGTCTCCAGTAGACCCAGACCCTGGATCCCAGTCTGGGCCCGGGTCTGTTCTGCCAATGCCCATCTCCTCGAGCCACAGCTAGCTGCCAACTGGGTCTGGGAACACCCACCAGGGCTTGGTTCAGGAGAGATCAGACCAGGCCTGAGCCTTCCGCCCTGAAGGGAGTTGGCCTTGGCCAGGGAATGGGCAGCCCCAGTAGCAATCCCACAATGCACTGTACCTCAGAGAGAGCGCGTGCCACAGGCAGGCGGGGACCGGCCTCCGCACATGGGGACAGCCGGTGACAGCACTGCTCACCAGAGGACAAAGGCTGGGCCGCCTTCAGGCACCCCTCTTCACATTTGTCTCTCCGGAAGAACCAGCAGTCTGATTCTGTCTTTTTCAGCCCCTATCTCTCTCCTTCTCTCCACCCCCACGCTGCTGACCATTTTCATTTCAATCACAAAGGAAAAATAAAGTGGGGGTGGGGGAGATACCTAGGAGTCTATTATCACATACATATTAATATGTTAATACTTTCTTTCTTAAAAAAAAACCTCTCGATGTTATTATTTCGCAGACTCCGCTTTATAGTACCTGTATGACGGGACCTAGGACACTGGATACAGATAGAGCTATGTTGGCTTATCATACTATGTACGCGGAAACTTTCCTTTTGTCATATTATCCTTGTAATGTAAGAAGATTGTTAATAAAAGCATTTAAATTCACTCACCAACATCCAACCTCTGCCTTCTTCTTGCCCCTCACCCAATCCTGTGTTCTGGAAGATTTGGAAGGGTTCCCATTGCACAGGTTCAGGCAGCAGAGTAGAAACCTGCCTGCTCCTAGTTTGGAAGGAACTAAAAGAAGCCTCTCTGGGACAAGAAATCCCTGCTCCCCACCCTCCCCCGTGGACTCTGTGTCTAGCGGGTCACATACACGCCTAGCCCACCTGTCAGACCTAAGGAGGTGTTGATTTTGGATCAGCAGTGCCCCTCAAAGGGTCAGGTGTCAAAGCGTTGGGTTCCAGCAGGTGGCGCTGTTGGTAAGTGGTGTATACTTCAAGAAATGGAACCTAGCGGAAGAAGGGGGCTCCAGTCTCTGGGGACATTTCCTGTGAAAGATGTGTTCTGTCCCAGGACCCGTTCTTTCTGTCTCTGTCTCCTTCTCTTGTCTGGTCGTCAGGAGGTGAGCAGCTTCCTTCACTGCATGCTTCTGCCATGATGAATTCCCTCATGATAAACCCGAAGTGTCCAGGCCAAGAACCACGAACTGAAGCCGTGTACTCAAATACATCTTTCCTCGCTTTGAGTTGATTTTTCCCAGGTATTTTGTCACAGCAATGAAATGTTGACCAACACGGGGTGTGGCCAAAACCATTTTAATGGTGCATTTCCCCATACATAGTTACCCCACAGCATTGAGGCACTATATAGAGCCATTGCATGTAGACAAGCTTGGCTGTGGGCGCAGGCCTGGACCCTGTACGGGCCTTCTCATAGTTTGCCAGTGGCACTGGCACGAGGCTGGGAAATACATGATGTTTTGCCCAACTGGTTTTAGAAAGGGGTTGGGTATGAATCCAATAAAGATGTAGACCATTCGCTCTTACCCTTCCCCCTAAGAGGCTGAGTGCCCTCCTTCCTGAGCTGGCCCTCCCTGATAGCATCACTTCTTTGGTGTTATCTCTCCCTCCTCTCCACCTCAACCTTCTCTGTCTGCCAGTTTTCCTCTCAGCCCAGGAAGCCCTCCTCCCCCAGTCAGCACTTAGAAAGTTGTGAAAGCCACTGATGGAATGTTCTAGCTCTCTGCATCCCTGAAGAGAAGGCGGGGAGGAGCAAGGGGCTCAGCTATCCACACAGAGCTCATGCTATTGGGTCACCCCCACCCCCTCGCAACCACCCGGCAGCCCAGATTTGCCTCACATGTACAACAGTTTCTGGAATGTATTGATTTTTGTCTCTGGCACTTGAGGGAAGGAAAAATCCCTATCCAGCCTTGGCCTGAAGTCAGTGTCCCAGAAGTGGGGTTTGGGGGCTGTGGTAAGGGCTAAATTCATCCCAACCCCTTTCCTCCCACTTATTCCTAGCTTCTGTTTTCAAGGTCCAAATGGCAAGTTGAGTTCACCTCAGAGGGGAGTCTCAGAGGCCTGGTTGGCTGCCTGAAGACACAAAGGGCTCCATGTGACACTTTCTAGAACGATCTTTGGAACACACAGATCCAGTCATGGCCTTCTCTCCACAGAAACCCCCTGTGGATTTCCATTGCCCCTGGATTCCATCTTGACTCTCCCGAGCCCCCAGCCCTGTAGGCTCTGCCTGCCCAGCCTTGTCTTGTCCTCCCCTGATTGGTCACTCTGTCCTCCAACTGCTCCAGCTTTTTTCTACCTTGAGACACTGTAAGGATATCCTGAGTCTTCTGCCAGGGGTGGCTTTCCCAAGTACAATTATAGGATAAGTTTCTTCTTTCAGGTCCAAAATGCTATGCACTCAGTGGGGCCCCTGCTGACCACATTTTTTAAATAGTCAACTGCAAGGCATAGTTTCCCACTCTTTCTGATATTTTCCTTCATGAGACTTAGCTCGGGCTGCAACCTATAATTATTCTGTGTGTGTGTGTGTATGTGTGTGTGTGTGTGTGTGTGTGTGTTATGTCTGTTCTCTGGCTAGGGAAGAGTCGAGGCTGTCAGTGCCCCTGGGTTCAGCACCTATCACAGAGAAGGTGGTCAACAAGCGTGTGTGGAAAGGGCTGAGTGAATTTAAGCAACTCCTGGGAGAAGCGCAGCCATAGCAGCTCTGTTGGTCACTGTTGCAGTCCTGGGTTCTCCCATGTTGCCTGCTTCTGGGTTGGAGTCCCTCCTGTCAGCACGATAGCCCTGAAACTGGCCCAGTCCCTTCCCTAAAATCTCAAGCTGCCCGCTGCTGCCGCCTGAGCTCCCCTCTGCTCCAACCTGCACTTCTTCCTTGGACAGTGCCCTGACCATTGCTCCTGAAAGAATCATGCTCACACATGGGGCATTTGGAAGGTGACCGAGTCATGGGGGCACTGTCGCTAACACATTGCAGGTAGGTAGGCCTGGCTGAGGTGAGTCACTGGGGATGCGGCCTGGAAGGGTGCATCTTCCTCCCTGGCTCCCCCTTCCCTCTCTGTTTCCTGTTCACCATGAGCCGAGCTGAGCTCCTCCACCATCCTCCTACCAGCCTGCTCCTGCCATGGAGCCAGCAGAATGTGGACAGAAGCTTTTGAAACTGTGAACCGGAAGAAACTCTCCTCTGTCGTTGCAGCTGGTGGCTATTGGGCCTCAGCACAGGAAGGTGACTAAAACACACCTACAGCCCTTCAGGCAGCTCCAATCCACTGTGAAAGATCTTTCCAGCTCTCTGAAGTTTAGCAGTTTTTGGATTTCATGGTTCCCAGTAGTACTGGGAGGCTACTACCTATTCATCAAAGTGACTTCCAGGAAAGAGCCTTGGCTACGGCCAGGCCCAGAGCCTGGACTTCAGGGTAAGGCAGTGCTACATTCTGATCCCTTTTGATCTCTTCTAAGTCACAAGACCTTGGCCAAGTCACTTAGTCTGTTTCTTTAGTTGTTTAGCACACAGCATAGCTTACTCTGTATGGATAATTCATCATCACTAGAATCATTGTGGTGACCTCTTAGATCAGGAGGAGGTAGGTGCTGGGCAGTGTTATGAGTCTCTGACACCATAATTTCTACCCAGAATTCCTGGAGCTACCTTGGTAGAGAAGTAGCTTTAGGGCTCCCTCTTGCCTACTAACACTCATCTCTCCTGGCCCTCAAAGGAAGAAGGCCCACAAGGTTTTCTTTTTTTGTTTTGGCTACAAAAGCATGTTGTCCTTAATTATTGCTGGTTGGAATCTTTGGCCTCTTGTGGTGGGATTTGTGCTGGTTTCCCTCCTCATCTGCCAAAAGGCTGTCCTGAAATATTAGGAAAGTGCATTGAGAAACTGGGTGGCAATCATGTCCCATGGTGGGCTGGGTGATGGGGGTCTTTGTTACTTTCTTCGTTGCTAAGGCGAAATACTTGCTTTTCACAAGTGAAAGGAGAAAAGATTTATTTTAGCTCACAGTTTGTAAAGGTTTCGGGTCATAACTGGCCAGTTCCAAGGCAGGTTGGCAGGTGGAGGTGTACGGGAAAGGACAAACAGTCCACAGCATGGTGGGCAGGAGGCAGCAAGGCTTCCTTCTTTCCCTTTTTATTCTATCTAGGCTGCAAGTTGATGCCTCCACACCCAGGTTGGGTCCTTCCTCTTCAGGAAATCCACCAGCCACACCCAAAACTATGCTAAACTAATCAGTGGATTCATCCAGTATTGAACATGCATCCCAGAAGTCCCTCCATGAGTGTATGAGGTTTTGGGAGGACATCACAAGGTGATCCACAACAATCGGAGACCAAATCTGACTGGGAACAAGCCACCATATGGATTGAATCACATGGTGGTCACTGAGAGACTGGTTGCCATGACAACGTCTGGCTTCCATACTGAGACTGGCCTCCTGTCACCCACCTCCCAGGTAGGTGCCTCTGTCTCTGGCTTGGGAAAGCTGTGCAGGTCCCTGCAGGGGCCATCTGTGCTGCTCACCTGGAGGAGATGACCAGGGGGCAGTGTGCCACCTCCAGGACAGCACCTGACCTGCGTCCAGCTGCAGCCCCATCTCCTGGCTTCATCCTCCTCCTAGGCATCTGGGCCCCAAAGGAGATGGGACAGATTCTCAAGTTCCAAGCTCCTGACAGGATGGTGCTTCCAACTCGCTCTAAAAAATAGAAACTCTCGGGTGGAAAATTACCAGTGGCTCCACCAGCAACTAGCAAAGGAGACGAGGCTGACTCAGAGGCTCAGGTGCCATGGTACAGCATCTTGGGGAGCAGGTGGCCTCAGGAGGAGCCATTGAGGAGATGCTCATGGGTGCTGCCAGGCTGAGGCAGGGACAGGCACACATGCACGCAAGTGGGGTTTACTTTGTGCATGAGCTAGGAGGCCTGAGGCATGCAAAGCGAGTTGCTGCCAATTTAGATCAGAGAATCACAGAGGATTAGACCTAGAAGGGGCCTTCATGCTTGTGTGGACCAGGTTCATTTGACAAATGTGGAAACTGAGGCCCATAGATAGACAAGTGATGCATTCAGTTAGGACTGTGAGGGTGGCCAGGCCCCACACTAGGCTGAACTAGGAGGCTCTAAGCTTCCATCCTGTTGCTCTGGCTATGAGGCAACATGGTTGTGCAGAAATGGGGTGAAGGCACATGGGGGGAGCCCCAGAAGTGGCAGCTGGTGAGTGCTTCCTTCTGGGTCCATTTGCAGCTCTCTGGGAAGCATAGCGTATGTGAGGTTGGCTCTTTAGGATAAAACCCTCCTATATTTTATTATGAAAGCAAAAGTCTTGGTTATCATTAGAATACAATATGCATATATAATATGAAGCAAGGAATTATGTGCACAGACTTAGAAAGCAAAAGACATTTCACGGCTTTCTTTACGGACCGTTTTATCCTGTTTAAGATGCTTCAATTAATTCCATGTGCCCTGGCTAATTTCCCAGGGATTTAAAACACAGTCCCCACTGCCTGCTAAATGCCAGGGCCCCTTCCTGGGAGGCCACGCTGGAGTGGCCTGGGGTGGCAGGACCCTAGGAGTCCCTTTGTCCCTGCCAGGCACCTGGAACTTCGGGACACCACTACTGCTACTTGGAGCCTTCAGAGACAGGAGCACTGCTCTGGGGGATGTGAAAGAAAGAGGGGTCCCTTCTTCATCAGAAATGGAACTGAACACTCTCTAGGGCTTGCTCAGTGCTTGCATCCCTGTGAGTGTGTGGCCTCTTTGGTGCAGCGCTCACGCAAGACCCCCAGGGATGCCCACGGGCACACAGGGGCGCTCTCTCTGGGGACTGCTGTTTACTCTTAGCTGTGAACCTCTGAGAAACTTGTGTAGGAATGTTTGTAACAGCGTGTCTTAGAGCAGAAAGGGGGATGAAGGAAGGGAGAAAAGATGAAAGGAAGAGTGGAGGGGGAAGGAAGGAAAAAATGAATGTGATGTATTTGTACAGTGGGATATCAAATAACCGTGAAAGAGAAATAAACTAGAACTACGCATGTTTAGAACTAGACCTGCTATGTCTACACAGTTGAAATTCAGCATTTTAACGCTGAGCAAAAATAGTGTGGCATAATTTAAATAACACTTTAAAGCACACACAAAAGAGCTCTGTTGCTCAGAGTTTGTATGTACGCGTGCGTGAGTATACAGCAGGGCTGCTGAGGATGGAAACCCCAGGTCAGGATGCCGGCCTCTGGGCTAAAGGCCATGGAGCAGTTGCCAGGTTCGCTGAACTGGGCAGTGGCTCAGAAGGGCTTGCTACATTATTTTTACTGCATTGTATATGTCCAGAATATTAAGTGAAAAGAAAAAAAAGAAACATCAAGCTGCTGACCCTGTTGGGAATTATTTATTTACCACTGCAATGGTTTTGTTTCAGAGTGTGACACAGGATACAGGACTGCAATATCTCATGCGTCTTTTTGTGCTTCAGTTCATGACGGGAACACACACACACACACACGCGCACACACACACACACACACACACACACACACACACAGAGCAACTGACAGAAGGACACAGTGAAGGCAGCAACAAATCACAAGGACTAGGTCTTTTTGCACCGTCCCTGCTTCCGCTCAGCTTGGGCTACCTTCCCCTTCCAGGAGGATGTGTCCCCACAGAACGGTGCTCCTGCTCCCTGCTGCTCCCTCTGCCCAGCTGCATTTAGGGGGTCAGTCACCCAACCCACACCAAGGGTCACATCTTGGACCGAAAGAGACAGACACACACAGGGTCTTGAGGAACAAGTAATCAACAGGGTACACCAACTGGGCTCAAAAAGGGAAGTCGCCAACTACTGAGGATAGACCTGTAGTCCTCCAAACCCACGACCATCTCTAAGAAAGACCAGGGTCCCCTTTTGGATGATAGGCTGGCCTGAAATCATCTCTTACTTTGTTTTCATCTCTGCTTCACATATTTCTTAGAAAATGCTTCCCTGTGAAGAACGAAGTGTCCCTTTTACAAATTGTCAAATGTGTTTGCACAAGCTTCATCACTCTAATCCAAAGGTGGATTGCAAGTATGCCTTGTTCAAGGTAAACCAAGGCAAAGATTACTGAATTTTTTTTATTTGGCAGGCTGACATCTCTGGGTAATTTTTTGTTTCTTTTCGAGACAGGGTCTCTCTATGCAGCTCAGGCTGGCCTTGAGCTCACTTTGCAGCCCAGGCTGTCCTTGAACTCACAGTGCTCTTCCTGCCTCGGCCTCCCGAGTGCTGGGATTACAGGCATGAGCCACACCATACCAGGCCTTCATGGAGTAACTTAAGATTCACTAGAACGGAGTTTTGGAGAGAAGGCAAGGCAACTGTATTCTCTTCTTTTGTTAAAGCTCTCTGTCACCTACACAGAGAGCTTTGACTGTCATTAGGTGAATGCTGATACTCAGTGTGGTGAATTTCCAGGCCAGCTACTGAGATGCCTGCCATTCTTGTCACTGTCCACTCAACCAAGGCTCTCCTTGTTCTGCCATGTGCTATGTCCTTCTCTGGTGACAGCCTGTCTATCTTTCAGTCCTCATCCAGCAAGCCATGATGGAGCCCGCATGAGACAGCTTTATCCTAGGCACTTGGAAGCCACCAGTGGACATCCAGATGAGACCCCCACAAAGCCTGTCTTTTCTGTACCTGCCTGGTGACTGGGGTGAAAATGACACATAATGTGACCTTCTATCAGGGGAAACTAATTCAGAATCTGGAAAACTCAACTTTCAAGATCCAAAGAAATGAATGGGATGAGTTTGGGTGACACCATCTAGAGCGCTCCAGATGTCCTTTGTTGAGGCTCAAGGGCAGTGCTGTGATGCATAAAGAAATAGAACTCATGTTTCTTAATTTTCAAGTTTAGAAACCGAACTTTTCTAGGAAGGCAAGTGTTAAAGAAGATACTGGCCAGCTAGTTTTCTTTTTTCCATGCCAACCAAAAAGAAGAGATTGGCCAGAGGTGTGGAGCTCAGAAACATGTTTCATGAAACCAAAGACAAGACTACCCCTTGGCAGGAAGTCTTAGCCCACAGGCCAGTCAGCCTGAAAGAGCAAGGTCTCTTGTCACCTGGAAGATGCGCCCATTACAGATGGATCATGTGATTTTTTTTTCTGTTTCTACAGAATGGGAAGAAGTCATTTCTAGTGGTTTTCCATTTCTGAATAGAAGGAACAAATAATGACAAAAGATTATCAAGTCGCTGCTCAGGGACAGGCCAAGGACAACTGGATTTGCTCTTAACTCATCCTGGAATCCTCCCTCCCATCAGGGAACAGGGCTGATGCCTGAGGGCCCAGAGTTGGCACATGAATAGAAAGAAGTCCAAATATAGAGTCCACGATTCTAGAAATAATCTGGAGAGCCCTGGCACGTTCTGGGCATTCTCAGCGGCCAATTTGAAGTGCAAGACAGTAGCCTAGCTCCAAGACGATTTGCCTGTGGCCTCCAAGTTTGCTTTTAGCTGAGAAAGGTAAGCTTGGACACTTCTGCACCTGCTGGGTCACGTACCCAGCTGGGATCTCAGGACATAAGTCCTGCTTTACAGAAGGACAAACTAATGTCGTGAAGGTGGTGAGAGCAGCAGAACCCAGGATCACAGGGCAGTGGCATGGCCCCTCTAGTCAGATTTAACCACAATGGGACATCCATTTCGGCACAGCAAGATGGAAAGCCTAAATCTAGCTTTGTGCTAATTACTGGTTAAAGTGATGAGGAGCCCAGAATCCTGGGAGGAGGGATGTCTGAAGAAGACCTCACTGCCTTGTAAAATTGCCTTCCCTCTCCACATTCGGGCAGCCAGACCGAGGAGACCATATTCATAATCAACTTCCTGTGGAAGTGGCTGGAATGTGGATGAGATGGCTCTGTTACGCAGGGTCACCTTGGTAATGCTGGCAGACCTGACAGCTAATGCCCAGCATCCAGCCCAATGACCAGCGGAGAGGGGATCCTCCTACCTATACTTTGTGGGACAAGGGTCTCCCCAAGCATAAACTGATTTCAGGATAAAACAACAAATCCTTCAGTAGGAAGCATGACACTCAGCCCAAGAGCAGGAGCCTGACATTTCACATTTCAACATTAAGAACTAAATTAAAAACAGAGGTTTCGAGTTCACACAGAGAGTTTAGGTGCCCAGGGTTGGGGCGCACTGCCCCCAGGTGTCGGGGCTCTATTAGGGACGAGGCTAAAAGCCCACGTGGAATGCTGTAGATGGGACCTCTCCGTGTCCTCCCACCTCTGCCTCAGAGCTCTCCCTGTCCGAGGGCTGGGCTTGGCCGAGATCTCAGACCTAGTGCCCCTCAGAGGCTCTGTGGCCAGCAGGTGAGGCTCACACTCACGTCCCACAGCTGACTGGGTGGGCGTTCTGTTCCCTCCTACACAGACCAGCTCTCATCCTTCGAGTTTATCCACAATTGTTTCATTGCCTTTATCCATGCTGAAATGCCGATTTTTTAAGGAAGCCAATTTCTTCGCACCCCTAATTCCCTGAATTAAATTCTTTCTACACCTGACCTCCCCCACCTGCAAATCCCACACACATGTTTTGGATAAGCTCCTCTTCCATAGCACAGAGGAACAAGCTGCAGTCCCCGGTGTGACACGATGTCCCACACTTCTTTTTTTAGAAATGGGAGTTCGATGGGAGAGGAGGCGTGAGGGCTCTGCCTGTCGAAATGAGGAGTGGACCAGAGGAGGGTGCACGGGGCAGCTGGGCCCAGAGGTGCCGGTCTCAGCAGCTGGCTACTGGCACAGCTGGTGCCACATGGCGATCTGCCGGCGCGGGTTCTTGAGCATCTCCTCCCAGTGGCTGCGCGCAGAGCCGGAAGCGTGCAGACCCAGGCTGCAGTGACCCAGGGCGCAGCTCTGCCCGGCCTCGTCCTGGCCCAGCACCTCCAGCTCCACGCTGGAGGCCCGCAGCAGGTCGTCGGGCAGCTCAAACATGATCATCTCATTCCACACGGGGTTGATCTTGTGCTTGGCCCGTTTGGTCTGCTTCTTCTTCAGCTTCTGAGCCTGGTGCTTCAAGGTCACCTTGACGGAGACATCTGGGGAGGGACAGAGAGGAAAGGGAGAGAAAAAGGCAAGTGAGCTTTTGGGTCTGATGGGCTGCATTTATTCTCCATTTACTGACTAAGTGCCAATCCATTGCCGGGCATCAGCGTAGATGTGGGGACACCACTGAAGTCCCTGCCTCTGCCCAACTTACAGCGACCCAGGGAAGTCGGACAGCACTGGGCGAGTGTCCTTCTCTGAAATGCTGGGGACCAGAAGTGTTTCAAATTTGTGATTCTTTTCTTTTTTTTTTTTTTTAATTAATTTATTTATTTGTGTGTGTGTGGGGGGGTGGCCGGCTCAGCCCACCAGGGGGCGGGGCTGACTGACATGTGGCGCTGGGGGATTGAACTGCGGTCCCTGTGCTTTGCTAAGCTTGTTCTAAGTAGGTGCTTTAGACCACTGAGCCATCTCACCAGCCCCGTGATTCTTTTCTTTCAGGTTTTGGAATATATGCACAGACATAATGAAGAATCTGAGGCATAGAAACCAAATCTAAGCACGAATTTCGTTTACCCTTCGCATACACTGTGCACACACAGCCTGATGGTGATTTTATGCAATTAAAAAAATAAATAACTTCATGCATACAGCTGAGTCTCCTCATGTGGAATTTTCAAAAGTTTCAGGAGTTTGGACTTCGGATTTTTGTGTGAGTGATGTTCTACCTGTAGTGTAATATACAGGGCCGGTGGTGGGTAGTCCCTAAGGGGGGCAGGTCAGAGTGCCACTGGGATATCATTCTTACCCTGATATCCTGGTAAGAATGACATTGTAGCCCCAGACCAAACCAAGCCCAGCACAATGACTCAGGCACCTAGGCTTTTCTTTTTCTTTCTTTCTTTTTTTTGGCAGAACCAGAGATTGAACTTAGGTCCTTGCACTTGCCAGGCAAGCGCTTATTCTACTGAGCTATCTCCCCAGCCCCTGGTTGGTTGGTAGTTTTTTTTTTTTTTTTTTTTTTTTGTACTGGGGATTGAACTCAGGACCCTGTGCTTGCCAGGCAGGCATTTATTCAACACAGACCAAAAAAACCAAAGCCTCTTAGATGGGCAGTTATTCTGCCCAAGCCTTTTTGTGAGTCATTAAGACCTCCTGCTGGTTGGCTGAGCTCCTGTCATCTGCGCTTTCTGTAGGTTTTTTGAGAAGCCAGCATCATGTGGAGGGTAAAAGTCCTGTCCTGCGCTGGACCAACACTGCTGCCTCTGGAAAACCCACACACAGCCACCAGAGAGACTTTCCTAGCCTAGCACCAGATCACTTAGTCAAGGTTCCCCAAGCTAATGGGAAAATAATTGTTACTTCGTATTTATTGCTGTAATTATCACCCCTGGGTGTTTAGTTTGTTATTTCAGCAGAGATATTTGAGAGACAAAGTGCTCTGCTGTAATTGTCCTGAACAGAATTGTAAAGGAATAAGGGGGGGGGAGGGGGAGAGAGAGAGAGAGAGAGAGAGACAGAGAGACAGAGAGACAGAGAGAGAGACAGAGAGTCAGAGAAAGAGAGACAGAAAGAGAGACAGAGAGAGAGAGACAGAGAGAGAGAGACAGAGACAGAGATAGAGAGACAGAGACAGAGAGGGAGAAGAGAGAGAGACAGAGAGACAGAGAGAGAGAAAGAGAGACAGAGAGACAGAGAGACAGAGACAGAGAGGGAGAGAGAGACAGAAAGACATAGAGGGGGGACAGAGTGAGACAGGGAGGGGGAGAGAGAGACTGAGAGAGAGGTAGGGGAGAGAGAGAGGGACAGAGACAGAGGGGGGAAAGAGAGAGACAGTGACAGAGAGGGAGAGGGAGAGAGGAAGAGAGAGAGAGAGAAGAGATTTAGATGAAGAAAGACGGAGAGACAGAGAACTGAGGACAGGAAGAAGCCTTGAACCCTGAGCTTTGGCTTGGAAATCGGCCAACAAGGTTAACTGTTCCGATTGCATTTGTCAAAAACTTTTTGCTTAAAGATTCTGCTCATGGTGGCAATGCTTTATTTGTGTCCTGCTATTAACAGAGATGTGTTTATCTCATGCTATGAGCACTGGGCCCACAGCCCAGGTAATATCCGGCTAACCCAGCTGCCTTCCTCCTCAGCTAGAAGAGGCTGCTTTGATCTCAAGCCTTGGGTCCCGAGCTGGAGTCCCCAGAAGGAACAACTGAGGCGTCCAGAGTGCTGCAAAGAGGCCTATGTGGATAAAGGGGACCCAGACACCTCAGCCTCGCCCCATGCCCACACACCTTCTGTGTCACCCACACTCAGCTGGTGCGGGGGTGGCAGTTAGCCAAGGCTGAGAACAGAGATGGAGGAGACTGAGGAGGCTGGAAGAGACGGGAGAACACAGGCTTCCCCAGTCAGCACCTGCCCAGAGACCAGTCCAGCGGGTCTAGGTGTGCCCAGGAGCCCAGGACTCCTTGCCACAGCTAGAGCCCGACCCTGGGCTTCCTGGGTCCCTGCTAGGGCTGTCCCAGTGGATCTTCTAGGCAGGGAGCCCAGGGGGCGCTTTGCTTGGCCCTGGTGGCTAGGAGGAGCTGGGAATGAATGGAAGTGAACTCACAGGTAAGAGTGTGGCCTTCGGATTTGGCTGTGACCCTGCCCCGATTCATCCGGGCACCCTGGCTCCATCCTCTCAGCCTACTCACCCTTGCCCAGGAGCTCCTTGGACTGGTTGGAGTGGAGGTTCTTGGCTTTGATCAGCACCACCAGGAGGCGGTTGGCAGCCGGGAGGTAGCTGATGGATAGGAGCACCTCTCCAGTCCCTGCCGATGGCTCCTGAAACAGAAGGGGACACAGCAGGTAGTGGCGGTAGGGGTGGCTTCTGACCCACAAGCATGGCTCAGTCTGGGCTCGAACTGGACTTGTGTAAAGCAGCCTCCAGGAGTCGCTCACCCAGCCTGGCTCTCCCCTTGCAGAGGTGAGTGACATGAGCAGTGTCATGAGGTGTAGGTGTCTACAGGAGTTTAACGCCACCAAATAGAATTTTCCCTGTGTTACATATTCAGACCCAACATACAAGGGGTGATCAAAATGTGGTGCGAATTTAAGTTAAAAATGTTTATTACACCAAAAGACACACAGTCACAAATCCCCCAAGCCCGCCTCCTCTCTGTGAACACACTTATCCCATCGGCCTTGGCCACTGTCTGAGGCAGCTCTGCAGGCCACTTTCTGAGTGGCCTTGTGAGATATGTCCAAGTGCGATCCAAAAGAAAGGCTTTCTGGTGAAAGCAGGATGGCACCTTTCCTCTACATATTCACTGGATCTGGTGCCATTTGACTCCTGGCTCCTCCCCACAGTCAAAATGACCACAAAAGGCAGAAATTGCGAACCAATTCGGGTATGAAGGCAACCATGACGGTGCCACTAAAGTCATTCACAAAAGAGACTCCAGAGCTGCTTCAGAAATTGGTAGGAATAATGGAATGGACGTCTTCGGGTCAAGGGAGAGAGAGTATTTTGAGGGGAGTGAATGGTGACGGGTCTTTCACTTTAAGTTTTTATTTTTCAATCACAGAACAGAGAGATGGCCCTCAAATGTATGAGGGGCAGAAATCTGGGAGCCCCTCGCCCTGTGCTCCCTGCTCATCCCTAGCTCCCGGGGTTCCCCTGCAGAACTCTAGAGATCCAGGGAATGCAGTTTGAGAATTGCTGCATCGACCAGTGAGGTTTTGGGAGCAGTGGAGAGTTGTAATTCATTTCTCTGTTTGAAAAGCCAATTTCCTCTAGGGCATCAGAGTCAATAAGATACCACGATAATGTGGAACAGGACCTTGCTTGGTCAACAGAGAGGCCAAAGTCAACAAAACATTGCAGGTATAGGATAGCAGAATGTGCCCGGAGATGAAGGGCCTCCGGGAAGTGCGAGACCCAGCTGTCCCCTGTGGACTTCCCAGAGCGTCCCTACTGACAGTCTTGTCAGAATTTGCTCAAGGTCAACAAATTTTGTCAAGGAACAGGAACATAAATGAACAAGCAAACGAACACATGACCAAACACTTCTCTGGGGAGGTGGGGGTGTGGTAGCCATGCAGCCTGGGGCACATCTGCCAGGGAAGAGTGGGATCCAGTGGCAGGCACCAGGGGACTCAGCACAGTGCCGTGTCCTCCTCTCATGGCCCCCAGGAGGAGGCCGCCAACCCCTGGCCAGCTGCAGAGTAGAGGCCGGGAATGCCAAGAATGACCACGGAGAAAGACCGTGGAAGCTGGTCCTGTTTGACGTCACGATTCTCAGCCCTGTTCCCCTTCTCTGCAGCTTTGTCCTCTTTCCTCACTGTGCAGTGGAGGTGCGTCACAGAGAGCCTCTACCCGGTACCCCTGGCTAATGGCCACCAGGGCACCCTGGCCTTCCTTTGGTAGCACTCCATGTGGGCTTGTGTGGTGCCGCCTGCTCGTCTCTACCCAGGGCATGTGTGTGGCGGGCAGGTGCCAGTCCTTCCAGGCACATCTGGTGCTCCCAGCATGGGGCCTCACCGGAAGTGTGCGCAAAGCAACGTGGTGAAGCCTGCCCTACTACCTACGTCTGGCCTGACACGGAGCCTGGAACTTAACTGTCTAATGCTGGTTCCCTTAGCGGAAGAAAGAGGGACTCAGCCATGCAGCAGACATGTGAAAGCACCTACTATGTTTCAGATGCTGCAGTTAAGGCACTGAGCAAAGCACAGTCTCCAGGGCATTTGCAGTCCTATAGCGTGGGGGTGACAGACTAGATGTGATTGTATGTGTAATATCAAGCTATATTCAATGCTATGAGGAAAGACAGATGCCAGAGATCAAATGGGAATGAGCCTTTACAAAGCCCCCATAAAATTATAGTGCCAGGGCTGGGGAGATAGATAGCTCAGCAGTCTAAGTGCCTGCCTGGCAAGCCCAAGGACCTGGGTTTGATCCCCAGTACCAATGCTGTGCCAGCCTTGTGCCAAGCTGGCCACTGAAACCCAGTATGGTGGTGCATGCCTATAATCCCAGTGCTAGGGAGGCTGAGACAGGAGGATCACTACCAGTCCGAGTTGCATAGCAAGACCTTGTACTAAATAAATTTTTAAAAAAATTATAGTGAAAAGCATCAAAATTACAGTGAGCATTAACCCAGAGCAGGGGATCTATAGTGGTGAAGACACAGAGTCTAGAGTCATCGGTCTGGGGCTGAGCTTCAGTCCAGCCTGCGTGACCTGCCGAGAGTGACTTAATTTTTTCCCCATTTCCCATGTGTAAATGGGAGCAGTATTATCTCTCTGTGTGGGATTGCCTTAAATTAAACAGAGTTTGCAGGCTTAGACCAGCGCCCAGCACGTCCTGGGCGCCCTGGAACTGTTGGCTGGAATTATCACCGTTAGTTGTCAGGGTAAGATCCTCGCCACTCCTTGAGCACTATCTGCGGTCCACAGGTGCCAGTCTGGGTTTTGGGAATGAAGCCGGATGGATGGATGGCCAGCCTGCTGCCTGCTCACTGGGCCTTGGCCATGTCTCGCATGCAGAAAGAAAGTCTACAGCTGGGAGCTAATGATTCAGTCAGCCTTGAGTGACTCATCCGTAGAAGCCTAGTTGAGGGGCTTCAAGGAGCCTTGGGATGATGTAAGTGATAGCAACTGCTGTTTATTAAACATTTACTACATGCTCCGTGTAGTTATGCCATCTCTTCCCGGGCTGCAAGTTCCTTGTACATCCCAGTTTGTGGCACACGGTGGGCACCAAATCAGGAAGGGGGGTCTGGCCAGAAACAGAAGTGGCAGCCCCAAATCCATGGCTTCTGGCTTCCTAGGTGGACACATCCAGCCTCTACGGCAAGGTCTGAGGACAGGTGCCAGGTACCCGGCAGGGTGGCAGCAGAGCTGGAAGGGAACATGCCTCCTGCCTCAAGGTTGTATGCCGGGGTCCATGGTCAGCTCAGGCAGTAGCTGTGGGGTGGGGGCCACGGCCTTCTGCTCCCCACCCCGGGTGGGGGCGGGCAGGGGGTGCTGTGAGCCCTGAGGCCCCGCACCTGCACCTTAGCGCAGCGCCGGGATCTGCTCCTTGGCACCCGGGCTGCTTCCTCGCCTCCTCCTCTCCAGCTCTGGATGGATCACTCCTCTGTCCTTAGAGTGAGTCGCTCTTGCTGTGCTGCGGGGGCCAGTGACGCACAAGCCACTTTTGGCTGAGTGTCTTCAGCCGGAACTGGGGCACTGCCCGTGTCTCTGTTAACTCCTTCATGCCCAGAGGAGCAGGCACCTGGGGGCTCACAACCGCAGGCTCCCCCAGCCAGGGCTAAATCAGCCAGTGCCCTCTCTACCTCGCATTCCCAGGGGAGCGGATGTTGGGAATACCCGCAGAGGGATGAATAGCAGCAGGGTGGCTGTAACAACGGGCTCCACTGCAGTTAGGCTGCATCCCCAGGAGAAGGAGGTGGCTGTGGAATGACTGATTGACTGACTGACTGACTGAATGAATGACTGACTGACTGAATGGTATTGCTCTTTTAGCAGCAGGGATCAAAGCCAGGGAGGTGCCAGACACTGCGTGGCCCTTTTGGGGTTGCAACAAAGCCTCAGAGCTCAGTGAGGCAGGAAGTCTCTTTTCTCTGCGTCTCCCGAGAAAGCTGCTCCTCTTGGGTCTGCCTGTGCCCAGGTTCCTGTCTGGGTTTCAACAAGCCCCGAATCACACACTAATTACAGAGCACGCCGTGACACCATCTAGCTGCATGCAGGCGTGGCTGTGATTATTTGATCAATTTTCCAAGCCTGAGAAAGAGGGGGCAACATGGCAAGAAGACACGCTGGCGCAGAGAGGAGCGGTGGGGAGTGGAACCGTTCTCACCCCTGTGCTCTGAGTATCCATTAGGGAAGATGCCCATGGGCTGTACCTCTTGCCTGTCAGGCGCATGCGTGAGGCAAGGATGAGCCAGCAGGGTTCAGAGTCCAGTGAACTGGCCTCAAGGCTGGACTCACGGGGTCCCGGCTGGTGACCTATGCGGGTCCCTCAATGATGGGAAGCAGTAGGTCACAAATGGGACCATCACAGTGTTTCTCTCACTGGTAGATTTGGGAAGTAGGTGGACAAACTCAGATTAAGTTCTAAGGATTGCTGCTGATTTATGGGAGGACTCAGAAATAGCACCCTGGATCAGCAGTGATAGTACATGCCTGTAATCCCAGCACTCAGGGAGGCTGAGGCAAGAGGGTCACAAGGTCAAGCCCAGCTTGGGTGATTTACTGAGATGTGGTCTCAAAAATTAAAAATATTTATGTAGACACAGGGGCCTGGGGTTCGATCCCCGGCCATCTGCGCTGGCTCCACCCCTGGGTCATGCTGAGATGGTGATTGACACTGCATGGTGGTGCACACCTGTAATCCCAGCACTTGGGAGGCTGAAAAACAGGAGGATCACTGCAAGTCTGATTTGTGTAGTGAGACCCTGTAGGCCCTTTACTAAATATACTAAATATACTAAATATACTATACATACTATACTATATATATATATATATATATATATATATATATATATATATGGCTAGAGTGTGACAATTTGGGTCCAATTCCCAGTACTATAAAAGAAATTAAAAAAGGAAGAAAGGAAGGAAGGAAGTAAGGGAAGGAAGGAAGGACAAAAGAAGGAAGGAAGGTAGGAGGGAGGAAGGAAGGTTGTTACTATAGCAGGACAGGGCACAAGCAATCTAGAGAGGGGCAGACAGGAAATACATACAGTGCTGTGGGCCATGCAGTCTCTGGACAGCAGGTGACAGCCCAGTCACCACATATCCCTTCGAGGCACCACAGTGACAGGTGCTTGAAAGCATCCCTGACCTGGGCCCTAGTAACCATGCACCGCCCTGAAGCCCTGCCCTTCTCTGGCCATTTGTTGCCCAGGCCTATGGGGACAACAGTTTGGTCTGCAGGGAGCCCCTCTCCGGGGAGTGGCATGTGTCCTGGATGACATTCTGTCACTCTTTGTCACCTCAGCACAGCACAGTAGGAAATCATATGGTGGCTCATGCCAGCCTGGTGGGTCCTTTAGAGCCCAACTCAAAGACACTGTGCACCAGGCTTCTAGAACTTTCTCTCGTGGTACTTTGGTTCAGTCCACTGGACCCTGCATGCCAGAGGTCACCAGTGGTCAGTGCGATTTATCCCTGCAGCCTGTGCTTTCTACGAGCAGAGTGCATCCCCCCACCCCTTGTCTGCATCTCCCCATAGTGCCTGGCACATAGTAGTGCATACAGACATGAGTGGAATTCAACAGGGATGCTAGCTGTGCATACATATTTGTAATCCCAGCACTGAGGCCGAGACAGGAGTGTTGCCACGCATTCCAGGCCAGCCTAAGATACACCGTGAGTTCAAGGCCAACCTGAACTGTATGTAGCAAGACCCTGTCTGAAAAATCCAAAAAATCAAAACCAAAACAAAGCCAAAAAAAATACAGCACTGCTGTTGCATGGGAACTACCCAGGAAGCTTTGCACGAAGATGGAAGAGGGTGTCTGCAGCAGGCAAGAAGCACCAGCCAAGTGGTTGCCAGGAATCGCTCCAGCTGCAGCCCTGCCCAAGGCCCTCCACACCTCTCACCCCCACCTGTGATCTCCAGGTCTCTCCTGTCCCTTCTGGCCCAGATGTCTGCCCTGATGCTCCACCGACAGCCTGTCCCTGTCCCCATGAGATGGACCCTACCTTGACCGAAGTCTTCAGCTCGCCCCACTGGGCAGCCCCCAAGGGCACAGACACCCCGTCCAGGCCGAGGCGGAGCTCCCCGGCCACACTGTGGCGGGAGAAGCGGTCGCAGGTCCTGAGGGTGAGCGTCAGAGTGGCCGTGGGCAGCTCCTCCTCTGCCAAGGGCAGCGCCAGGCCCTCCTCCCAGGCTGTGTGCAGCTGCCTCCTCTTCAGGGCTGTCTGCGCCTCCACAGAACCTGTCCCGATGGCCACGCTGCCCTGCACGTAGCAATCGCAGCCTCCATCCTGGTCACTGGTGAGAGCTGCAGGCAAGGACAAGCAACACAGACCTGGGGCTTTCTGAGGACTGGGTGGGGGAGGCATACTCCTCATGAGGGCTGTGGAAGCCAGCTTCATGGGCATGACCTTGGGCATCTGCAGGTCCAGGCCTGTCACCCAGGCATGCTGCTGTCCCTGGCACAACAGAAACAGGAGCTCATGGAGGGGCAGGGACCGGTACAGCTCCTGGAGGGCCCAGGTCAGGACCTGGGTCTCCTTGAAGAGCAGTGACCAGAGTCGACACTTCCAGAGCCTTCCTGACGTCAGGAGCCGGAGATCTCCCCAAAGTCCAGGCCCTCCCCACACCTTAGGTTACTCGTTAGAGATGTTACTCATGCTGTGATTCATCTAGTCTGTAAGTTAAATATTTACCCCTTGGGGTGTGACTCATCTTGCTGCTCCATCCTGGATCCTGTTTTCTATCTGGGACCCTAGTGTTTTAATGCTTCAAAGTGTGCTTTGTATTAGTCAGCTTCCTGTCACCATAACAAATACCTGAGGCAGATCAGTTTATACAGAGGAAACTTCTGGTTGGCTCTCAGTTTTGGAAGATCCACCCATGGTGAGTTGGCCTCATTTTTGTGGTCCTTGGAGAGGCAGCACGCCACAGTCAGTGAGCAAACAAGCACAGGAGGAAGGGACGTGGGTCTCATTGACCCCTTTATGAGCTAGAGACCTTCCTCCAGGCCCCTATCCTAACGGCTGCACCTGCTCCCTCTAGTGCCACCTAGGGAAGCCAGCCTTTGCCACCAGGGACCTCTGATGGACACTTAAGACTCAAATCCTAGCATTTCCTAAACCTTTCGTTTGCTCCTGCAAGAGCGCTGCTTTACATTTTTGAATTGTGGTATTTTTAATAAGTTACAATGTGGATTTACCCAGAATTCCCCTCTGTGGTACTTTGATGACTGGCTCTTCAGTGAGAATTTGGGAAGTGGGAGCTGATACTTCTCAGGGAGAGAAGCTGAAGAACCAAGGCCACTATCCTGATGGATAGAGCTTCCTACTGAGTGTCCAGGGACTGCCCTGTCCTGGTTTCATCACTATTTAGCTGGAATGATCTTGGACCAGTCACAGGAGCTGGTAGACTTCAGATTCCTAGTCTGCAAAATGGCACTATCTTGAAGACCAAACATAATAAAGCATGTGAAAGTGCCTAAAAAATGTAAAAGACAACAAAAAGGAAAAGCACTCAAAGAAAGAAAGAAAGAAAGAAAGAAAGAAAGAAAGAAAGAAAGAAAGAAAGAAAGAAAGAAAGAGAGGAAACACTCATGCAAATAAAGAAAAACTTAGGAGCTAGGGATGTAGCTTAGTCGTAAAGTGCTTGCCTAGCTGGCTTCAATCCCCAGTGGCACAAACAAACAAACAAACAAACAAACAAAAACCTGTCCCGGTGTTCCCCTAAAGGCTTGGTCTCCAGCTGATGGCTTTGATGGATGGTGGTGGGACCTTTAAGAGGATGGGCTTAGAGGCAGGACGCTGGACCATTGTGGGTATGGCCTTGGATGGGGCTCTGAGATACTAGCCATTTTGCTTCTTGGCCAGCAGGCGGCCACCAGGCCTCTTTTCCCCTGTGCTCCTGCCTTGATCTTCTGCCCTGGTGGAGGCCAGAAACAAGAGGACCAATGACTGTGAGCCAAAATAAATCTTTCCTTCTTTTAAATTGATTTTTTTTCAGGTATTTTATCACACCAACAGAAAGCCAATCAACACAAAAAGAATAATTTATCACAGAAGCAGTTTATCTGGCCTCACTTCTAGTCTGTTTCCTTTGAAAAATCTTAGCTTTGTTTACTGATGGCCAAATGCATTGTAGGGAGAAGGACAACAAGGACATCCCAACTGCTCAGAAAGATGACCTGGTTCTCAGATCGTGGAGAGTTTTCTGACGCTTCTGAAGACCTTCCACGTGTAGCACAAAACCCTGTCCAATGTCAAGAGCATCTTTGGTAACGGCCTCTAGTTGTTCACCCCAAACTTCTCTTTTACTTGCACAGCCTACTAGGCTACATTTCCCAGGCTCCCTTGCTGTGAGATGTGGTCATGTGACTGGGCTCTGGCCAATGAGATATGAGCAGAACTGATAGAGGTTGTGCCCAGGTAAGGCTATTGGGGAAAGAGTGCCCCCTCTTCTGGTTCTTGTTCTCCTTCCACCTGCTAGATTCAGCTGAGAAGGAGGCCCAAGGGGTTCATGGAGGCTCAGTGGAAAGGATGAGTCCTTGATGTGGAGGAAAGATGTCTGCCAACCAGGAGCCCTCCCTTAGGAGTATCAAACACAGAAGAAAAAATCTATGTATCCAGGGACCATGATTTGGGGCTGTTTATTGGAGTGCTAACCTGTGTTCCCCATAATTGTAGACCCTCCCATCCTGCCTGCGTGGTCCCTCCAGGATCACGGGCACCCAGAGCCCTACACGCGGAAGATCGGTACCTTCTAGGCGAGTCACGAAGAGCTCAGCCTTATGCCGGTCATAGTCCAGGCAGTAGTGCAGTTTGGGTGCCTGGTTCCAGCTGGCGGCCTTCTCCGGGTTCCAGGTCTCCATTACACAAACATCCTCCACCACACCTGCAAGAAGCAAGACCGTCACTGCACCCCCGCATGGGGGTCCTGCCTCTTGCTGGTGACACCATTCTTACCTCTGCCACCTAAGCCACGAATCCAAATGCAAAGCTTCTGAAAGTCCCCAGTGGTGGTTACACCAAGACCACGCCAGAGGCCATAGCACCATAGCATTGCGCTCCAAGGGAGCATCGTACCCCAGGGGCCAAGACATGGGCTCCAGTGTCGGATGTGAGCTGTTGGGTAATAACTGCACAACCATGGACAAGCTCCTTGACTTCTCTGAGCCTCAAAGTCCTCCTCTTCAGAGTGCCTCTTTCCTAGTGTTACTGTAAACATTAAATGGAATAAGGCAGGGGAATTCTTAACCCAGAGCCTGGTCCACAGAGAGCTTTTGGGAAAGAAACCTGTCACAGATGTGTGATTCTGCTAACTGCACTGTAGGCAAATCATTCCCAGCCAGCCCCAGCTCCACCTCTGCCACTGAGCAGAGTTCCTGCTCCCCAAGGGCAAGCAGTTGGAGACACAAACATAAGATAAGAATTAGAAGAACCCAGCAGCTGTGGCCGAAGCCACTTGAAGCAAAGCAGAATTTAATTTTCAATGCTCGGGACCAATTCAGAGGCTAGCAGTAGAAGTGGCTATTAATTTCCAAAGTGGTTCATTATCGGGTCCTGCAGATAGTACAGAATTTCCCCAGGGCATCTGAGAAAGGGACCAGAAGTGACCAGTGTGTGAATCAAGACACATGTGTGCAAAAGGCCAGCTTGGCTTCCGAGACAACCCACAGGTGACTGCAGCCCTGGTGGCCTTTGGAAGGGCTCAGTGGAACCCAGAGCTCTCAGCTCATAGGCAGTTTCAGCCTTTGACATCAGAACCAACCTCCACTTTCCTAAAACTTGTGTGTGTGGGGGGGTACTGGGGGATGAGCCTGACACCTTCACACTGAGCCATACCCCTGCCCCTTATTCCCCTATTTTTCTTTTGGGACAGGGTCTTATTAGGTCATTAAGTTGCCTAGGGTTGACTTTTTCTGCAATCATTCTCCGGCCTCAGCCCCCGAGAAGGCTGGGACACAGGCGTGCGCCATCACCCCTGGCCATATGGACCCATTCTAAATCTGTCTAAAGTGTAGCTGGGCAAAGCTGGAGGTTCAAAGCCCACCAGATTTCTTCCTCGTGCTGCGGGCACTCCATACTTGGGTTCCCAGGCCAGCCTAGTCACTGGGCCTCTGGTCAGAAGCCCCATCTACTGAGCAGCATGGATGCAGGAGTCCAGGCCGGGCAATGGTGTGAGGTGGGCTCAAGGTCAAAGCCACTGGGCTGCTTCTACCTCTCTCACTCAAAATAAAGCCCAGACCTCAAAGTGCCATGCCTTCCTCCAGGCTTTGTTTCCCCCTCCTGGAAAGCTCCCATGGTCCTTTGAGTTGGAGACTACACCTGCCTGATATTTCACCCTCTGCCCACCTGGTACAGTCTACCTGTGGGCATTGCCCTGTCTGCTCTTGCTAATGAAAGGAAAATAAATAGTCACTTGAACGGTAGGTTTTGATTATGTTCTTTCTGCTGGCCCTGAATCGAGCAGGTATAAGCATTATTTTATTCACACTTTACAACAACCCTTACAGGATGACGATATGATGATCCCATTTTATGGACGAGGAGACTGAGGCCCAGAGAGGTTAGCAGCATGGCCGATGCTATGCAGCAAGTATATAAAAGGGCAAAGAATCTATCCCGTGACTCTGAAGCCCAAAGTTTAATTACTATGCTTTATTCTTTCTCCGTAGTTACACACCCAGGACCAGAAAGGGACTGTCTTGCAACTGCGCATGGCCAGGCCACACAAGGCATCGCAATGACCTTGACAGCTCCCTCCTGCATCCTCCCATCCAGCAAAGGGGACCCCTACCGTTCTGGGGAAGGATGAACAGCTCCTCTGTGACCTGCCTCTTGAGGCGACTGTCACTCGGAGGCTGAGGGCTGGTGGGCGCAGCAGGCTCCTCCGTGGTCCCCAGCGTGTAGTCCGCATAGTTGATGACCTCAGGAGCTGTCACGGCCGGCCTGGGGCCGTAGATGTCCGGGAATTTGAGCAGGGCTCTGGGCTGGACCGGCTCCGTGGATTTCTTCACATTGAACTGCAAACACAAATCAGCTCGCTAGGGGGCGCCTTGCAGGTTCCCACCCAGACACGCAGGACCTCACCTTCCACCGGAGGCAGCGAGAGGTGTGGCTCTGTTCGGCTCCAAAGAGGGAAAACAAAAGATCTCTTCGGAGCCCGCCGGCTCACAGTGCCACAAGCCACGCCAGGGCCCATGGAGATGTAGCCTGAATCGCCCACCCCTCATCCATCTGTGCCACTGGCCTCTCTGCCCTCTCTCCTCCATTTCTCTTATTCCTCCGGCTTCTCTCTTCTCCACCCAGGACTCAGACAATGCCTGCTGCAACCCTACCCCGGTGCAAATCCACACTCCTTCCCTGTGCTGGTCCCCAAAAGCTTTCCCAGCCTGGCCCTGGTCACCCCTGGGCTTACCCCACTTCTGTCTGCGTTGGATCTTGGAGGTGAGCTAGACCTGGAGGACCAGGAATGTGTGAGGCCGAGAGATGGGTGGGAGGAGGTCCCCATGACAGAGGGCAAGACAGAGCCAAGCTCACACCTCTATGTCCTTTCATAATCCTTAGAGTCCTGTCCTCTTCTGGGGTCTCAGCTAAACCCAAGTTACATTCATTATACTGTGAGGTGTAACAGAAATAGGAGGCAGACATTTAAATGAAAAGGTGTGTGACCACGACTCCCCTTCAGAGTCCTCCTCCTCGCTCAGAACACACTTATCCCATCCTTCTCACCACTTTCCGGAGCAGCTCTGGAAGTCTTCCTTCAGGAGGGTCTTTGGTTGTGTCGTAGCTGCCTTGATGTCCTGAATGAACTCAAAATGTCTCCCTTTCATGGTTACTTTGATTTTGCAGGAAGAGGCAGAAGATGCCTGTTGTCAGAGGTCCAGTGAAAAAAGTGGCTGAGGACACAGCCTCATGTTTTACCAGCTTTCTTGTCCCACTCCACACCTTTCAAGTACATCTTTTTTAAAAAAATGTTCTTTAATCTTATTTATTTATTTATTTGTTTGGTACAGATTCTCACTACACATCTGGGACTCGTAGTGATCCTCCTGTCTCAGCCTCCCCAGCACTGAGATTACAGGCATGTGCCACCACTCCTGGTTTCAGGGGCCTGCACAGCATGTGGTACCCAGGATTAAACCTGGGGCCTTGTGCTTGCCCGGCAGATGCTTAGACTGAGGAGCTATCTCCCCCGCCCTCAAGTGCATCTTAAACAGCTCAGTATTCTCACAGCAGAGCAGAAGTTTGGGAGTTGAGGCAGTAGATTCCAGGTGAAGAACAAGAATGCCTGGAGCAGGGCCTCCAGAAAGGCCTAGTGCAGTGAGCACAGTGGACAGGACTTGAAGCCAGAGTATCCATCTCCCATGGGCATCTGAGCCCAGGGAAAAATGGACGAGTCAGGTTTCCAGTGGGACCAGCATTCAGCATTTAGGGAACTGGTGCCCATCTGCGCCCGGCCGCGCCCCTCCAGCCCCGTATTGTACCCATCTGACCAGCTCCTCGGATTCTCTCAGCCTCACCTGTCTCTAGGACCTTGGGCCACTGGCTTCTCCCCCTCTGGCCACCTCTGCGTGGGTCAGCATCAGGTGGGCACAGTCCTGTCACCCACTCTGGGGCTTCTCTGAGGCTGTTGAGATGAGACAGCAGGACGCTGTCCACAGCAAGCTACCCCGGTGTGTAGATTCAGAGTCTGAGCGACCCAATTCAGAAATGGATGAAGAACCTGAGCAGCCATTTCTCCAAAGAAGTTCTACGAACAGCTGCTTAGCACATGAAAAGATGCTCAGCTTCACCAGTGATCAGGGAAGTCTGAGCCAAACTAAAACAGGAGCCACCACACACCTACTGGGATAGCTGCTGCCAAAAAGCCAGAAAATGCCAGGGGTAGTGGTACAGGCTTACAGCAGTCTGAGAAGCTGAGGTTGGAAGATAGCAAGTTCAAGCCCAGCCTGGGTAACTTAGTGAGGCACAGATTCAAATAAAAAATGAAAAAGGGTTGAGGATGTAGCTCAGTGAAAAGGCTCTGGGTTCAAGCCTAGTGCTGTAAAACTAACAAACAACAAAACAAAAAAAACAGAAAGTGACAAATGATATGGGGATGTGAAAAAATTAGAAAGCTGTGTACTGCTGGGAATTTAAATGGTACAGCTGTTGTGGAAAACAGCACGGCCCTTCCTTAAAGAACTGAGTGTGGAATTACCATATACATGTGTGTGCAGCCCAAGGAATTGGAAGCAGAGGTGTCGAAGATGTGTTTGCATACCCGTGTTCACTGCAGGGTTATTCACAACAGTTGAAGCACGGAAGAGACCCTTATGCCCACCAACAGAGGAATGGACAAGAAAATATGGGCCACACAATGAAATATTACTCAGCCATAAAAAGGAAGGCGATTCTGACATATACTATGGCATAGATATACCTAGAGGGCACCCCCTGGTGAAAGGAAGAAGCCAGTCAAGGAAGGCTGATGCCACACAACCCCACCTTGCCCGTGCTTTAGAGGTGAAAAGTGGAACAGTGGTTGCCAGGGGCTGGAGGGAGGGAAGTGGAGAGCTGTGGTTTAATGAGCACAGCATCTGTTTGATGACGTGGAAAACACTATGCAGATTCGTGGTGGGGCTATTTGGACACCATTATGAATTATGTTACGGTGGTGAATTCTGTCATGTGTACTTTACACAATTAACAAAATGAAAAACTAAAAGCCCAACAACTCTTCAGGGAGAAATTGACTTTTCCATGGAGCAAACAGGCAGTGAATTCCTCTCCTTCCTCCTCCCTCTCTTCCCCACAGAGCCTTCACTGCCATTTGGGTGGAAGACGGCACCTGGAGACCCAGCTGTCACTCTAGATGTCACTTGGTGGCTCCGTACTGTGCCCAGCCCTTGCCTTTGCTTCCTAAGAAGAGCCCTTCCCAGGAGCCTCGGGCTCTCCTCCCACCGCTCCAGGCCATGACAGATGGCCAGGGCAGGGACAGGTGGATCCGAATAGTCATCTAATGAGCAAATATTTATTGAGCCTTATTGCAGGCCAGGTCCTGTGTGAGTGTTAGAAACGCAAGCGTGGTGAACCCAGACAGATGCTGGCCCTTACGGGGCTTCTGCTGGGAAAGCAGAAATTAATTATGTAGTTAATGATCTGTAAACAAACTCTTCGCCTTAGCAGAGGTGCTAGACAGCCCCTTTTTGACATGATTAACTTTTCACCTAAAGGCTGTTTGTTAATTTTAGGACTCGTGCTGGGACATCCTTTTCAAATTGCAGTGGCAGGGAGGAGTGGCCCAGCTGGGGGGAAAAAAAAAGTCACAGCTTTGTCCTTAAACCTGAACTTGAAGGAGAAGCCTGAAAGCACAGGACTGGGCAGCACGCTGAGAAAGAGAACAGCAGGGGGCCAGCCTGTTAGCTCAGCAGACTAACGCGCTTGCTTAGGCAGGGCACAGTGGCCGGGTTTGATCGCTAGCATGCTGTGCCAGCCTGGCCCATGGGGCGTGCTGAGACAGGGATTGAGACTGGGTGTGGTGGCGCATGCCTGTAATCCCCACGCTTGGGAGGCTGAAAACAGAAGAATCACTGCAGGTCTGACCTATGTAGTGAGACCCTGTAGACCCTGAAGACCCTGCCCTAAATACAGAAAAAAAAAAAAAAAAAAAAAGAAAGAAAAAGAAAGAGACCAGCGGGATCCTGTGTTCAGGCTTGAATGTGAGACCACTTGGTTGAACTTCAGGCTCTGCCAGGTGCCTGCTGCGTGGTCTTTGGCCCCACTCATCACCCTTCCTGGGCCTGGTTTCTCCCCCTGCACATCTGGGATTCTGGCAACAGCATCTATGTCCTGAGCTGATGGAGGGTGAGGTGGTGGCCACGGAGGGCCCCTGGTACAGAGAGTTGGATACAGCAAACCTCCATATAAGGGCCAGAAAGATTTGTTTGACCCTGCAGCTTTGACTGGTTCTATGCAAAATGGGGGTGACAAAGGCACAGGCTTGCACAAACCCGGAGATAGCGCCTGTCCCAAGGAGCCCTGAGACGACCCAGCTGCACGGTGAGGTTCTAATACACAGAGTTATTTTAAGCCACTAAGTTTAAGTTGATTTGTTATACTGCAATGGCTAACTAATACAGTTGCTTGTGAGAATTATCCAAGGAGGTATAAAAAAAATACAGATACAACTGTGCAACAGCACATACACTAGAATGGATGCAATTAAAAATGTTGACAATGGCAGAATTGGTAAAGATAGAAAACACAAAAATGTTTGTCTGCTGTTGCTGCTGCTGCTGCTGCTGCTGCTGGAAGGAGAAAAAATGGCAAACTGTTTTGGCCAAAAAGAGTTTTAAGAGTTAAATATACACCTGCAACCCAGGAGTCCTACTCTAACAGCTGAACTGAACTGTCAGCTTGATGGGCTTCAGAGGTCAGTAGTGCATGCCTCTGAATGTGTCCGGGCGGGTCGAGGAAGCTACAGCTAGTCCCTGGCCCCTTGCTCTCTGGTGCTTTCCCCTTATTCTACTTCCTGCTCACCATGAACTAAACAGCTTTGCTCCCCCAGCCCCTTTAAATTAACCCTTTGGGTCCCAGGCGTCTCATCCTGTCCAGCAATGGGAAAGGCAACCAACACAGGTGCTCTTTGGTATTTGCAAAGAGAAAGGAGCTGTGAAGCCGCAGAAAGACTTCAGCATGGCTAAAGGCAGCAACTTCACTCACACTACCTTCAAACGAAGAATAGCCCAGGTGCATATGAATAAGTTCTGGACTTGTCCTCAACAATGAAAAGAAATGGGTTTCAGGGACTGTCGGTGGTGTGACAGAATCATAAAACATGCTAAGCTGAAGAAAGCGCAAACCACAGCCACGGAGGGGCCAAAGCCATTTACGTCAGCGCTTCTCGGCCAGGAGTAACTGCGCTCCTTAGGGACATTTGCAGTGCCAGGAGACAGTCATGGTTGTCACATCTGGGGATGGTGCTGTTGTTACTGACGCTGTCACCATGACGGGCTGGGCACTATTGCAGACAGAGAGC